GGAGTGTACAGTTTTCGGGTGCGGCAAACTGTACTCTCTAGCGGACAAACTCCCCTGGCATGTTATCTCTCTATTTGGCCAATTTCTACTCTTTCCAGCTGCCTCCCAAAGCCTATAGTAGAGGCTAGCCATTTCAAACCGTTGTGCACAACTGATCTTAACATACAGAGGTGACAAGTACACTACCAGTAGATTTCCAGACACTACGTTAAATGGCAGATCAGAAGCAGATAGGCACTTTGTATATGTACATGCCTGAGTACCATCCTGGTTAGTTTACGTCCATTCCCACAGTCACTACCGAAGACCCACAGTCACTACCAACTGTGGGAGTGGACGTAAACTAACCGGGATGGTACCCAGGCTAGCCTTGTAGGCCTTCAGTATGCAAACAAGTCTGTCAGTTGTAAGGGTTAAAAAAGCCAGCTAAGATCACTTCTGAATCGCACTTTTTTTCTCTGATGCAGTCAAGCCGGCCAGACCCCCGCCCCCACCTCCTAGATCTGCAGAGACCGCCCTGAGCACGGAAAACGATGACATGCACACGGAAGGCGATGACACACACACGGGGGGCGATGACACGTACACGGAGAGTGCTGACACGTACAGCTGCATCGACGAAGGAGGAACAACAAACGGAGAAAAGAAAAAGGCAGAAGAAAACGAGGAAGAATTCCCTGACTACGACACCATACCCGTTACTACTGAAGACACCTACACCACCATCGGTGAAACCACAGCAGATGAAGAAAACTATGCTGAGGTGGGAGGTCCGAGAAACGGTACAGCGGTTGAGGAGGAGGCTGATGAAGGCATGGTGGATAACGTTTACTACGAGGGCGCGAGCAACGCGAACGACGAACAAAACGGAATGGAGCAAGTTATCGACGATATCTTCAACGGAATCACCTACAACCGCGCTTCTGAACTCTTCCCTGCTAAAAACGGACAATCTGAAGATGAAAATAACGAGGAAACAAGAGACTTGTACGCACGCGTGAACAAGCCGCGACGGTCCTGGTCGAACGAAATCCTGGCGCCGCCGCTGCCGCATGCGTCGATCGAGGGGAAAACCTTCGCGTTTGACGAGATCAGAGACATGCTCGGAGACATGGGCATCGGGGAGGACGCCATCGAAGACCTGGCGCCTGATTGGCTAGTGGACGACGGACCGTCCGCCATCGACCAGCTCAAGCTGTTTGTGGAGAATCTGCAGGGCGATCAGCAGAAAGAGACTGTAGAGAATGGGGACTAAAACTAAATTCTCCTAACACTTACAATTGTGGAGAATCTACGCTAAGGCGATCAGCAGAAAGACACTGTAGAGAATGGAAACTAAGACCAAATTCTCCTAACATTATATACAGAGAGGCTATTCTAACATTGGTGGGGATCTCAAGGATATATTACATGTGAATTTTTAAAATCTTGAAAGAACTTCTAAGAACTGTTTTACAGAAACATATTGTGGAAAAACAGCTTCACTTAACAGTTTTAAACACTCTTCTCCAACAAAAATCCATAGTTGCCAAATTTTTGTGATTACAGAAAAGTTAGGTGACATTGAATGATTGTGTCTTTGCCATTTTTATAGTGGCCATATTTGATATTAAGCATCTTTTACAAATATGACTTATAATACAGTTTTTTGTGATTGGCTTTGAAAGACATAGTGCCTTGTAGTAATGTCCCCAAAAATGTGAGTAAAGTGCAGAAACAAACTCTTTTCCAGATTACAAAAACATGTATATTTACTCTTAGATTGTATTGTTTTAATTTTGTTTTAGCTACAATGTAGAAATGCACTTTTTTTATTTGTTTAAAAATTAGAAAGTGCTTGATGTTATTAAAAATTAGAAAGTGCTTGATGTTATTACATAGAACAAAGAATTTATGATTTTACCATCTTTTCATATTGAGATTTAGTTTAACTTTTTGAAGAATTTTATATTGATGAAAAAGTCTTGATATTGAGATCTAGGACAGAAGCAACAGAAGGTCTTGTACTTTAATGTGCCACACTGAAGGAGTTCAAGCCCCAAATGGCGTTAAAACTTGACTAGGAAATACTGTCAACACTCCTATATATGCTGTGGCAAAATGTAAGACAAAACGATGCCAACTTTTCAGGCTGTCCATAATTTAGAAAAGTTTTAAAGGATTGAGCTAAAAGCCACATACATGTACATGTATTTGGGCACTGTGTGCTCTGTTGGTATACAGCTAAATGTGTATGTAACAATCAGCAAAACAGCATCATGGCCTTCCAAAAGCTGGTCTTGTGGACTAAGTGTAAAAATTAAATATGCATTTAGTCAGTACTGTACATGTTAATGCTTGTGAGCAAAGCAAAGTTTTTAATGATTCCTTTTGGAATTCTATCCACATCCACTGAGAGTTCTTGATGGAAAGAGGGAGGTCTTACTAGCTATAGTATATGCAAACAAATGCAACATATATTGTACTTCCAAAAGAATACTGGGAAAGTGCAGTCATGCGTTTCTCAAGAAAAGAAATCGGTTTTGACTGTACTGTGACCTGAAAGATGAGCTTGACATTTTAAAAGTGAAATGCAGGCATCATTCACCGAGCTGCCATCAAGCCTCATTTGTGCAGTGTAAGCACGTCTAACCCTCGGAAGACGGGAGCAACAGACGATAAACCTGACAGTGAGTGAGTGAGTGACCATTCACTCTTTCCATACAGAAACGGCAACACTAACAGCTACGAACTTAATTTCCATCTCATTATAGAGCTTGTGTCTAGCAAACACGTACCGATAAACCAGAAAAAATGTCAAACTTGGAAGTGTACATACCCATACAAATGTGTAGTGTGTTTTTAAGTAATTGTATGATTTTGATACTTTTAAGTAAGTAAGAAAAAAAAAAATAATACAAATGTACCAAGAGGCATTAAACTATTTGTATGACTGGAAAATCATTTTGTGTAGCATTTAATTCTCACTGTGATTGTCACACACTAATGTTACTAAGAAACACATATTATGCAATACTGTACATTGCATACAATCATGTATGTATACCAATAACGTGTGGTCTTTCAATAGCTTCGATGTGATGTCATATTGACTCATCTTAGAACTTACTGTACAATCTACACGTACAAGATATCGATATCAAGTTTTAAAAACTAATTTGGTCCCTATATTGGCAAACATTTTTAATCATACACACTGTTACATTCAGTGCAAGAAGTGTATCCATATGAACCCTAATACTTGTCTTTTGGTCACATTATATAGCTTTTTAGTATGAAATTTCCACTAATAAGAAGCTCCAAATTTATTAACACTCTTTTGTGACTCTCTGACTTTCCACAGAAGAGAACCAGAAAAAAACATACTATTGAGCTTTATCCTCCACCTTCCACATAAGATTTCAAGTAGTGTTTACTTTTTATATTTACATAAAAAAAGTCTTAACTTAATTTGCAGGGAATTGAATGAAGTGAAAACCTGATAATACACAAAAGTGTTGTGATCTTGGATTAGTTACTAATAAATACATCTTAAATATTTCCAACTGTAATAGTAACTGTACTCAAGTTCAAAATTAATGCAAAAAATACTGGAGCAAACCATGTGAATCCAAGCTTTCTTTTACCAACTCCCCACTTTTAGTACCTCCAGCTTTACAATTGACAGACTGAGTGCATACATGTACAAAGTCATGTATTTAACACATTTTGATATGAAAGCTTACAGTTTTTCACTCAGCTTGTGGAAAGGTGGAAAACTTAGTTTTAGTGCAACATGCCAGTGTTTTATCTCTATTCAAGGTACAAATCTATTCTGAAAATACATTTTTTTCCACAAGGCATTGCGGTGCTGCAAAGAATGCAAACTTTGTTACCCAGTAACATAAACTTTAAAGTTAAAGATTAAGGTGTAGAACATTTGACTTTGACTTTCAATCAGATATAAGCCCCAACCACCTCAGTAAAAGCTCAAAACATACACAAGAAGCATCAGATTCTAGAAATGCAAAAAAAAGTTGAAGATGCATCTGAATTCTTATTGGTTGGATACTAGTAGCTATCTTGATACTGAGTTAAGCTTTTTTTAGTTCAACGTACTACATGTAATTCTTTATCTACATGTACATGTAAGGGCTGTAGACAGTACAGCTTAAAGCTATTTTGCAGAAAGTTATCAGTCGTATTGCAAGGGATCTGAAGAAAAAAACTTTGAAATCATGAAATGTATGACTCAGTTCTGTACAAACTTCATCTACTGCATAAAATGCCAAGATGAGCACCCAAATGATTTGTCATGGGGAACGCATCACAATAACAAAAAAAAAACAACTGTTTTCACTATTTCTAGCAGAGCTGCCGATTGTTTGTCAAAAGGACATGTCTAACTATGATATTCCATCAGGAATGTGGACGGACATCTTTACAATAACTTGTTTCTGCTTCAGAATTCAGAATTGACAGAAAACAATGATATATACAGATGACACAGAAAAGCTGCACCTCACATTTCAGGCTCCACATTTGACCAAACCTTTCCTGGTACAGCTTTGATTTAACAACTGATTGCCACGAGAAGTGAAAAAGGAAGCTCCTTTATCTAATAAACCACTAAATTATTTAAATAATATTTACAATATCTGAAACACACTTAGTCTAACACCTTCTGACAACATATGAATAGAAAATGACATTCAGTGGGCCATGTCCAACACAAATTATCATCTAAAGACATATGATCTATTAAAACTGTACAATTGAGAAAATGACATCTATTTAACATTACAACACAAGTGACATACATGTAGTAACAGCATGTCGGCAGAATGTACTGCACCTGCACGAATTCCGTAATGTATTGTGCATAGCACTTTGGCAGCACAAAGGTTATATTCACATATAGATGTATAAGTTAGTCACTATAAGGTTAACATCCTGTCTGTAGTTTCCAAATGTTATGTCGGAAAAGATATCCTCTGCCACAGGCAAAATTCTGATGCAACGTTGACCAAACATTGTGAAAAATCTGGCTTTCGCGAAGGCACAGTACGTTCTGCTGACATGCTCATAGTAACAGAGTTAGTCACAAAGACTGGATGGAGTCAGTAGAAAACGGTGATGACAGTTGGAGTGTTGTGAAGGTTACTTCTTCAGGAGCTGTTTTCTCTGTTGCTCTAGGAGCCCCTCCAAGTGGTCTGCTCTCTTTACTGCAGCCTGGAGGGAGAAAAACAAAGACTTTAAACTTCTTCTTTTGCCATCCTCAACTGAGGGGAAGCATGATGTAGCTATGAGTGCCATATGGCTGTGCTAAGGCTTGTGTATTTAGCTAATAATAAGCATACCGGGTCACCCCTACTATTCTTGATAAGTGTGTTAGGTTCTTTTACAACTAAACAAATTTTTTGTAACAAAAAGTCTGGTAACCTGTAGTTAGGATACACACATATCACAAGACACAATGAGGTGGTTATGCTCATATGACCATTAGGCACTTGTACATTGTATAGAATGCTCAGGCAGTTCACCCTGGACGTTGTCTGGTAAATGTGCTTGTCTATTGTATGATAAAATTTATTGCAGCAACATTCAGTTCAGTCTTGAATCTACGACTTTGGCACACAACCCACCTCGTACTGTTTCCTCAGCTGATTCACTGTGTCCTCCTTCTTAACAATGGCTGACTTCACTCTGCAGCGGCAAAAAAAGAGTGTGTTGTTATACAGTATATGCTAGTAAATACAATACGCTGCGACTGTATGGGATCCATATACAAAGAAAGACAAAGACAAATTGGAAAGGGTACAGAATCAAGCTGCAAGATTCTGTATGAACAACTATGTAAGAGGTGCTAGTGTCACGGAAATGAAAAGAAACCTACAGTGGACCTCACTGGAAGACAGAAGAAAGATGTCTAGACTATGCATGATGTACAAAATGACTAATAAACTGGTGGATGTCCCAACTACTAAGTACCTAATACCAGCCCAGAAGAGAACAAGAAATAGCCACGCATTCAAGTACCAGAGTTATCAACCAAGGATTGAGGTGTTCAAGAATTCATTCTTTCCTAGAACTATCGCAGAGTGGAACTCACTGTCACCAAGTACAGTAGGGGCATTGTCAATAGATAGCTTTAAACAATGTCTAGAGCTAGAAGTTCAAGGGTTAGGTGTAACAAGTCGATCGGTGTAATATAGCCAGCTGCCGCCGCGCCGCGTGCCTGCGAAGCTGGTGTGTTACGCCGAAAGGCGGTTATACCGGCTATACAGATACAGATACAGATAACTGTTACAATAAACATCTCTTGCTCCAATCTTTGACATTGTTTTATAATTTTATCACATTTTTTCATCACACTTCCAACACAAAAAGTTCTCTCACCTAGAGCTTTCGACCAGTCACTCTGGTCTTCCGTAGTAGACTGACCCAGTGAGACTTGTCATGTGAGTTCTTTGACCCAGTCTTGACATCACATTTTAGAGATGCCACGTGACAAGTCTCACTGTGTCAGTCTACTGAGGAAGACCAGAGTGACTGGTCAAAAGCTCTAGGTGAGAGAACTTTTGTGTTGGATCTAAAGTTTTAACTCTAAACCCTGCCGGTACCTTTTGTGCACCTCCTCCATCTCCTCCTCCTTCTCCCTGGTGATGCGGTCCAGCTCCATCTTGTGTCTCGCCCGCATCTCGGAGATCTCGTTCTTGACGCGCCGGTTCTCCTCCTCCGTGGCGACCAGCCGGTCCGCGAACTCCTGCCGGATCACCTCCGACATGTTGTTCCGCTCCTGGGTCAGCCGCTCTTTCACCTGTCAATCAAGTATGAATTAGAATTCAAATATTGTACTAGAAAGGTAACATTTGCATAATGTTTACCTTCACATAATGGTCTGCTCTCAGACTGTTAATTCTTACTCAAACACATTCACATATATGGCTACAGGAGTCTAAATACCTCCTGCTATAAGATTGCAACATGATGTAACCCAACACTAGTTACCATGGTGACAGACAGTCTGGTTCAGGTCATTGATCTTATTGGAACAGAAGAAGAAAGTAAGCACAAACAATATGTTTCCTTCGGTAAACATAAAATGACATCGTTTACCAGATACCTTTGACCCAGTGTTGATGTCACACTTCAAAGAAGCCATGTGACAAGCCTCACTGGGTCAGCAGGGTTGGACAAGTCCCATTGCCCACTTGCCCAGGGCAAGTAAAAGCACTGTTCGGGCAAGTCAATATCCCCCTGAATCGGGTAAGTAAATTTTTTGGATGCAAAGTATAGCTGCTACGGTGTTTGGAACAAGTCAAACCACCTTATTTCGATAAATAAAGCATCCAACAGTATAAACTCCAAAATAAGATGATTTCCTTGGTGGTAGTAAAAATGCATAGAAATATGTATATTTTGGGCAAGTGAAAAATTGGTTCGGGCAAGTGGAAATGACTTTGTACTTTCCCGAAAGGGCAAGTGGATTTTTGAAAACTTGTCCAACCCTGGTCAGTCTACTGAGGAAGACCAGAGTGTCTGGTCGAACGCTCTAGATGAGAGAATTTCTTTCTGTTGGATCAAATTTTTTTAAAGTTTTAACTTTTAACATGTAACTACCCACACAGATGAACCAACCTTGTTGATATCCTCCAGCTCCTGTTCCTTCTGCCTGAGAAGACCTTTCAACCGAGCATTTTCTCCCTCAACCTCAATCAGCTCAGCCTTCATGTCGTTGTACTTGTCCATCGCAGTCCGCTCTGATCGCTCTAACTCTCGCATTTCTGCTTCGTATTTCTCTCTCATGCGCCTGCGAGTACACACAAACAAACAAACAAGGTCAATTACAGGCTGAATAAGATCGTTAAACTTGTCCATCGCCGTCCGCTCTGAATGCTCTAACACTCTCATACGCTTGTAAGTACAAACAAACAAACAAACAAAGAAACACACATGTCAACAACATCACTGGGCCAAACAGACCTTTGGGGTGATTAAGCACAATCTGTGGGTATGGCCAATCATGTAGGGTAAAATCACTTGCATACATGTCAATTGTAAGAGCAAATTTAGAATATGCCATGACAGTATGGGATCCATATACAAAGAAAGACAAAGATAAACTGGAAAGGGTACAGAATCAAACTGCAAGATTCTGCACATGACAGACGAAAAAATGTCCCAACTATGCATGTATGATGTACAAAATGACTAATAAACTGGTAGAAGTACCAACCACTAAGTACCTGATACCAGCCCAGTAGGGAAGGTGAACATAACAAACAAACAAAAAAACAAGCGTCCTTACTTCATCCTGTTCTCTGCAGCTCTCTCCACCTCCTCCCTCTGTGACGAAGCGTCCTCGTCTAACCTGAAATGTGAGAAATACCTTGCTTGGTTGCCATCACAAAGAGGGGGTGTCCACAATAGAACACTCAGGAACAGCACGAAATTGACACAGTTTAAGTGCCGGACACAGCTATGCTAAACATTACCTTACTGTGTCCCCCTGCCGAAAGACAGTTAATGTTAGTCAATGTTATAACAGAATTTTAAGTCATGTTTAACTTAGTAGTGATTATCTAGGATTTGTGACTAGTTTTAATCCTTTTTTGTCATGTATAATGCTGATAAGTCTAAGATTTTGAATTACATGTACAGAAACCGCAATTCAGCACTCTATTCATGCTGCAATAGTTTTTTTATTGAATAACCCCCCCCCCTCTCTCTCTCTCACCTCTGTATGACCAGCTCAATCTCCTTGTCCCTGTCCCTCTTCACGGTCTCCTTCAGTTCTCTCTCCTTCTGTAGCAGCCATGTGTCCTGTTTCTTCATGTAGTTCTCTTCCCAGGCCTCCTTCTCAACCTTCAGCCTATCCTGTAGCTGCTTCACTTCAGCCTGGAGGAACAACAGGTCATTAACATGTAATAACCGACCACTTCTTCATATAGTTCTCTTCCCAGGCCTCCTTCTCAACCTTCAGTCTGTCCTGTAGCTGCTTCACTTCAGCCTGGAGGAACAACAGGTCATTAACATGTAATAACCGACCACTTCTTCATATAGTTCTCTTCCCAGGCCTCCTTCTCCACCTTCAGTCTGTCCTGTAGCTGCTTTACTTCAGCCTGGGGGAACAACAGGTCATTAACGTATAATAATTGACAACTTTCTAATCTAACGCTAACTCTCTCCTTCTGTAGAAGCCACGTGTCCTGTTTCTTCATGTAGTTCTCTTCCCAGGCCTCCTTCTCCACCTTCAGTCTGTCCTGTAGCTGCTTTACTTCAGCCTGGAGGAACAACAGGTCATTAACATGTAATAACCGACCACGTTATAACCCTAACTCAGCCATGTGTCCTGTTTCTTCATATAGTTCTCTTCCCAGGCTTCCTTTTCAACCTTCAGTCTGTCCTGTAGCTGCTTTACTTCAGCCTGGAGGAACAACAGGTCATTAACATGTAATAACCGACCACGTTATAACCCTAACTCAGCCATGTGTCCTGTTTCTTCATATAGTTCTCTTCCCAGGCTTCCTTTTCAACCTTCAGTCTGTCCTGTAGCTGCTTTACTTCAGCCTGGAGGAACAACAGGTCATTAACATGTAATAACCGACCACTTCTTCATATAGTTCTCTTCCCAGGCTTCCTTCTCCACCTTCAGTCTATCCTGTAGCTGCTTTACTTCAGCCTAGAGGAACAACAGGTCATTAACATGTAATAACCGACCACGTTCTAACCCTAACTCTCCCAGGCCTCCTTCTCAACCTTCAGTCTATCCTGTAGCTGCTTTACTTCAGCCTGAAGGAACAAAAGTCATGTACATGTAATTACAACGTTCTAACTCTAACTCTAACCCTAACCCCAACCCCAACCCCAACCTCAACCCTAACCGTAATCCTAACCAAAGCCCTACTCCTCTCATGCTTCCTTCTCCACCTTCAGTCAATCTGGTCTTCCTCAGTAGACTGACCCAGTGAGACTTGTCACGTGGCTTCTTTTAAGTGTGACGTCAACACTGGGTCATTCACTCTGGTCTTCTTCAGTTCCTCAGTAGACTGACCCAGTGTTGACGTCACACTTCAAAGAAGCCACGTGACAAGTCTCACTGGGTCAGTCTACTGAGGAAGACCAGAGTGACTGGTCGAAAGCTCTAGGTGAGAGAATTTTTTGTGTTGGATCTAAAGTTTGTAAATTAGTAAAATTTTAAACATACAGCATGTCTCCTCTCCTGTTCGTCCCGAGCCTTCTCGTACTCCCTCCTCATCGTCTCCACGGCCTTGGAGCTGGTGTCCTCCAGCTGTTCTTTCATTCTGTCGATCTCTCCGCGCTGTTTTGCCGCCTGCGTCGCGATTCTCTCCTTCTCCTCCTGAACTTCTGCGTACAATCTGGGAGGGTGACAAAGGAAACAAACAGCTGATCTTACTGTTAAATTGAATTCACAACAAGGCATTTTTCTTCTTGTAAATATTACAGCAATCAAACGCAAGCTGAGATGGTTTGGTCATGTCGCAAGATCATCAGAGCTTGCAAAACTGTACTACAAGGGACAGTGCCAGGGAGACAAAAAAGGGGGTAAGCAGAGAAAGAGGCGGGAAGACAACATGAAAGAGTGGACTGGGCTGAGCATAGCTGAAGCCATGAGAGCGGTGAAGGACAGCGTTAAATGGACGAGAACAGTTGACCAAGTCACGGTGCCACAACGACACTCAACGGGGTCAAGGGATACATTGTAGGAGAGGTGAAGTGAAACATTGCAACCAGAACATTGTATAAACACATACCAACAGCATGTAACTGAATAAGAGATTTATTCAACATATGAAGTAAAAATTAATCACCTTCTTCTCTGTTGCTGTAGCCCTTGCTCTTCCTGTTCAGCCTGTTTCTCATATCTGAAAAGGACATTTTAAAATGACATTGAATCAGCTGCTCCCCCTAGTGTCCAATACCAGTACTGCAAGGCTGAAGATGACACAGCATACATGTAGTCTTGGGCTGCACTAAAACATTACAAAGGCTTTTTCCCTGCCATTTCTTTGCCACAGAAAATACTTGGAAATATCATCATCTGGGCATATCTATCTAGGGCTCGAAATTCATTTTTTGGGAATAGGTGCACTGGAACGTTTTTTTGGGTGCACCATATAAGATGAAATACATGTACATGTGAGTAGAATGTCAGCAAAAGCTTATTATGTTTCATTTCTAAAGAAATGATTTTATTATTTTTCTAACACTTAGATGTTAAGAATATGCTGTATACTATTATACATTTAACATCTTTACATACGTAACCCTACGAAAACATTTGGGTGCACAGCTCCAAATTTGGGTGCACTAAGGTGCACATGCACCCAGTATTTCCAGCCCTGTTGTCTCAGGCCTCACCTCTGTTTAGCCAGTTCCCTCTCCCTGTTACACGCCGACTCAATCTCTCTGCCCATCTGTTCCTTTATCTCCTCTGTCTGGTGGATAAACCGACGACTGGCCCGCTCGTCTGCCTCTAACAGCTCAGCCTCGTGGATAGCCTTGATCTTCTTTACCTCCTGCTTGTGTTTGGCGATCAGTCTCTGGATTTCTGGCTCCAGGCCTTTTACTGTCATCTCCTGTAAGTTTAAAAAACAACAACAAATAAGTTACAAAACCTACAGAACTATGGTACTCTTGTCATCTATCCCTCAGCTTGTGTTTGGCGATCAGTCTCTGGATTTCTGGCTCCAGACCTTTAACTGTCATCTCCTGTATTTTGAAAACAATCACACGTGACTAACACATGACAGAATGCCCAGGTGGACGTTGAACACAATTATAATAAAATAAAGCATTACAAGGTACATGTATAGCTTACCCCAATAGTGGATGTTTCATTCTGACTTTTATTGTGTATGAAAAATTAGACAGAAATCTGATAACTAAAAGGTCACAAGAACAGAGGAAAAAAATTAGATAATTCTGACTAATTTAAGTAATTATCTTTTATCAAGCTACATTAATTTTGTGTATCAACTACTTTTCAGACTTTTACCTTGATCTTTTTTGTCTTTTCGTCTATCCACTTTTCCCTCCTGAGTTTCTCGGCGGCTGCATGCATGTCTTTGATTTTCTGTGTCTCTTCATTATGTCTGGAAGGAATAAGAAGGTTATAGTCACAATACCAATCTCACAATTTCTTGATAACACATTATAATGCTCAATGGTCATATCTATAAAGAGACTGAATATTGTTTGACACAGTGGTGTAAAAATACTTCAAACAGTAGACATTACAGTTACAATTACAAAACAAAACCTATTTTAAAGAGATCTGCCAGATAACTAGCGGCCCTGTGTATGAGAGAGCTCAAGGCATCAAAGCTCTGCACATAAAAAGAACCCAACACACTTACTGAGTTGTACAGTCGAAAATTTGGGTGAGTCCATTTTCTTGTGTTGGATATTACAGTTCAAACTTGTTTCATAATGACTTCTACCAACACAGATGAACTTTCAAGATGACACTTGTTTGTGTACTTGATTGAATATGCAAGCTGTGGTCAAGTTGCCTTGCACTACTAGCTACTTGAAAAAGCATCATGAGTTGAGGATGACAAAAGAAGAATGCAGGCAGACGAAAGATGTTACAGTACAGTAGCACTACCCACTTGTCTGACATGTCCTTGATCCTCTTGCTGTACTTGGCATCCATGTCCTTCAGTTCCTTCACCACACGCTCACACTTTTCTCCCAGGGCCTTCTTATCATCTATTAACTGGTGAAAATAAAAACAGATATCACAGACCATACGCCAGTAAAGGTTAGATACCAGATTTGCCAAAAACAGTTACTCAAGCAATATTATGATTTTGGAAATGGTCAGACATTTCAGATGGTATCCACTACCTTTCGTCAGTGACACTAGAGACACTCTAGAGACACTGACGAAAGGCAGTGGATGCTACCTGAAATGTCCAAAATCATATTCAGTGGATATGGTACCATTGATCATTTGTCTGATGGGTCCGGACCTTTTGGATTAGTCGTTAGTGCGCTGGTGTCGTGAGCTGGCTGCCCGGGTTCGATTCCTGGTGTCCCGGGATTCAGGGGTTTTCCTGTTTCTACATGTACTTGCTCCTGTTAGTTTCAAAGTCTTACCTGGTCGATGAAGCCCAGGTGTCTCTTGATGGTTGCTTCGTACTCCTCCTTCTGCACCTGGAGTCTGTGTTTCATCTCCTTCTCCCCCTCACGCGCATGCCGGATTGTCAGCTCTCTCTGCTGGTTCTGGGGAGATAGAAAAAACATAAATGAACTGGAAAGGTAACATTTGCAAAGCAAAGCCATAATGTTTACCTTCACCCATGGTCTCCCCTAACTACTGTTTTGTTTTCTCTGAGTCATCATCATCCATTGTATTCTGCATCTGTAGTCATGAGAAAACGTTCTTTGTCAAGACAATTAATGTCCCTTGTCAAGACATTAGTGTGGTAACCGTCAGCAGCCTCCAACTCTGTCCTGCCACTTGCTACATAATGTAACCAAACACCTCAGGGTATCGTCCTCAGCACCTGTTAACATGACTATGGATCAGCATCTTGCCCTAGTGTTCAGTATCGGTACTGCATATCAGCACCTCCCCCTAGTGTTCAGCATCAGTACTGCATGTACAACTCACCAGTTCCTTCTGCAGCATGGCTATGGATCAGCACCTCTCCCTAGTGTTCAGTATCAGTACTGCATGTATCTGCATCTGTATCTGTATCTGTATAGCCGGTATAACCGTTCTTCGGCGTAACACACCAGCTTTGCAGGCACGCGGCAAGGCGGCAGCTAGCTACCCCGAACGACTTGTTACACCTAACCCTTGAACATCAAACTCTAGACATTGTTTAAAGCTAGCTAATGATGATGCCCCTACTGTACTTGGTGACAGAGAGTTTCACTCTGCGATAGTTCTAGGAAAGAATGTAAAACTCACCAGTGCCTTCTGCAGCATGGCCACGGATCGTTGTTTCTCCTCCAGCTCGATTCGTTGTTTGAGCATCTCCCCCTAGAGTTCACTATCAGTACTGCATGTTTATGTTTATGTTTGTGTAGAGCTCACCAGTGCCTTCTGCAGCATGGCTATGGATCAGCACCTCCCCCTAGTGTTCACTATCAGTACTGCATGTAGAAACAAGGCTCTACTATTTCACAGTATTTTCTGGAGAACAATAACTTACCAGTGCCTTCTGCAGCATGGCCACGGACCGTTGTTTCTCCTCCAGCTCCAGTCGTTGTTTGAGCATCTCGCTGGCGACCTCGGATGCGGTTGCCGAGGCCTGCTCCATCTGGGCGATCTCCTCGGCCGAGGGGACCAGGAGGACCGGGGGCGGCGCGGCCGCTGATGCTGGGTCCTCACGGGGGGTGCTTTCCACGGACTGGGGAGGGGGAGATATACATGAAGGAACCTTTATTGCTGGACAATCATACATGGTAGAATGTGTGGCAGTAAGACCATCAATATATAATAGATTATATGAATTACAATATGGTCATGTATTGATGGTTTGGTCTTGCTTATGGAACTGTGTGCCAGATAGGGTGAACTTTGTCTTGGTAGTAATAGTCTGTAACAGTATGAATGGTTTATTTCAACAATGTCGCAAACATACCAGCCAGAATGGCTGAACAGTGTTCTGATAAGACAACAATTTGGGTAGAGACACATCCACATGCATGTATCGTAACATACTAAATAAGAGTAAAAACAATCTGTACAACATTTGCTGGGTTATCAGATACTAGTAAGAAGTAGAACAAGTTTAAAAAAACCTAATCAGCCCAACTGTCGGACATATGAGAAGAAAAAGAAGTACATATAGCCTAAAATTGAATGGAACTTTGGAAGAAAGTACTTTTATAAAACAATCTGACCTTAGTGACCTGGCTGGTGACCTGACTGATGACCTCATCATCTGCCTTCTCCACCTCATCCAGGAAAGACATGATGGACCTGTGGACAGGATTATTTCTTTAGAAGATAAAGAGTGTAAGTGCCAGATTTCAGGAAGACATGTCCATGAAAAACAAGACTAAGAAAGGTAAGAAAGAAAGGTAACATTTACAAAGAAAATGTATAATGTGTACCTTCACAATTGGTCTAGCCTAAGAAGCTACTGTTCTGTTTCTTCTCATTCAAACACATTCCTTTTATATGGTGACCAGCCCCTCCAGCTCTGTCCTACTACATAATGTAACCCAACACCACAGGGTATTGCTACCACACTGTACCATGGTGACAGACGTCTGGTTCAGGTCATTGAATTTATTTGTTTGGAGAAGAAGAAAAAGAAGAGGCACCAACAGAGAAAAAACAATACGCTTTCCTTCTGTGAACTTCAAGGTAAACATATTGTTCTGTGAAGGTAAACATAAACAGAACAACGAGCAGTTCTCACCTGAGTTTGTCCTCAGTGAGCATGACACCAGGTAACCCCCCTGCCGAGGTCCTGGGCGGATGGTTCAGCTTCTCAAGTTTCTCTGACGACAGGTAGCCATTGTCCTTCTCTTCATCACTACCTGCATGATGGTTTATATGGTTACAACAGTTGTTATATTGATACAACGATTTCTACATTGTTCAGTCTTGTGGTAAAATACTTCACACATAGCTGCAAGTCTTTACTTTGGACTCCACACACAAAGAGAAACACCAATCCACAGTTCTTAAAGGGCTGACTCACAACACTAAAGGAACTCATGGAGACAGAAACTGATTTAGGGCATGATTCTCTCAGCAAGGAAAGATGAACAGTTCTGGAAACTAAACTAAAGTTTGTTTGATAGGACAAATTATGATGATGATGGAATACAAGATACAACAGAAACTTTGCAAGTTGTGGTGTTAAAGCTTAGAAGTGATAGTAACATTAGTAACATCAGCCCTTCTCACCCCAGGCTCGACTCTTTCTTGGCGTGGGGAACTTCTCGGGCTCCTCCTCCAACATCTTAATGGTGTCCAGAAGGTCGTTCAAGGTCGTCTTGGTCTTGCTGTCCGTGAGGGTGGTGAGGTCATCCCGGTCAGTCTCAGCCTGGGTGTCGGGGGCTGCGGTTGCACCCTGGGGCTCCTAGGATTAGCAATCCATATATTAATCAACCAATCAATATATCAATCAATATATCAATCAATATATCAATCAATCTATCAAACATGTAAGTGTCATAACACATCCACATAGAGTCACATTTTGTTTCACTGGACACTGTAAGGATATTGGACAATGAACAAGACTATTTCCTGAGAGGGATGAAAGAGGCTATATACATCAGGGCTCATCACCCTTCACTTAACCGCGACGGGGGCCAACATCTTCTACCAGATACCTTTGACCCAGTGTTGACATCACACTTCAAAGAAGCCACGTGACAAGCCTCACTGGGTCAGTCTACTGAGGAAGACCAGAGTGACTGGTCCAAAGCTCTAGGTGAGAGAATTTTTTGTGTTGGATATAAATTTTGAACTTTAAACTTACATCAAACATCTCGTCCACCTTGCGTACGGTACTGGCCGTGCCGGGTCTCTGCTGCGGCGACCTCTGACCTCCCACCTCTGACTCCGTCATCTCGCTGTCGCTCTCTGACCCCGCCCTCTTCACAGGCGACGACCTTTTCTTGGTCCTGACCTTGGGTTTCGCTGAAGCAGGTCTGGAGACTTTCTTGGTGACTTTCCCGCTGGGCTGGAGAAAGGAGATCTCTCCTTCCGACTTCTGTTTGGGTTCTGCTCTCTTTTCTTCCCTTTTTCTTTGCAGCTCCTGAAGAATTTAAGTTAGGATCATAGAATCTCAAGAAGGGTTGAAAAGAGAGAGGTGATAGCATAAGGTGCTACTGCCATGTCCATTTGTCAAATATTTAACGTTTTCCAAAATCATATCCAGTAAACTGTTGCTTGAGTAACTGCTTTTAGGCATATCTTATTACCTGGATGTCTAACCTTCGCCGATGTATAAAATTATGATTATACTTCATTTTGCTGCATTTTGGATTGCATAGTTTTACACTAAACTGTGAGTTTAGTGCCAAGGGATATGGCAAAAATGTTAGGCAGCCAAATATACAACAAAGACTTTTTAATGCCATACTGGTTAGAGAACTTGTCAAACCTGTATGGCTGCTTGTCGAGCTTGTCTCTCCTTCTCCTCCCTCCTCCTTCTCTTCTCTTCCTCCTGTTTCCTTCTGTCCTCCATCTCTGCCATTCTCCTGTTCTGTTCTTTCCTCATCATGTCCTCTCTCTCCTCTCTCTTCTGTGCCAGCAGTCGTTTTACTGTCTCCTCACTCTCTCTCTGCTCCTTCTCTTTGCACGCTCTAAAAAGATACAGTACACACTTTAGAATGCTGAAGTATAGGCAGATAGGCACTCAAAGCCCTGTAAACAGGCATATATCTGTAGCATTTTTGTTAATATAAAGCCTTAAGTGGTAAAGCTCCATACAAAAACAAAATGATGCCATTATTGACTTGTTCTACTGTTTTGACAAGAGTCAGGTGGGAAGATAGGTAAAAGAATGTTGTTCAAGAAGTAAGGACACTAAGGCCATGTTGATTTGATTATATGGATGACATCCTCCGGGAGCCCCAAAACTGATGCGCGCGTGAGAATAAAAAAAAAGTTTTGCAAAAAATAAAAAGTTGTTTTCATTATGAAATCTACGTGGTCATGAGGGTTGAACAAATGGGACAGAATATGGTTTGGCGAATAATCTAATCTTCAAGTTCATTTCCTTACAATTTCGTCTTTTTTCATTTGATTTTGGCATTCTACGACATTGGTATAGTTTTTACTTATTTTTTTGTAACTTACGGTATATTTTTGCTCATTTTGCAACTGTTTTGTACGATTTACAGTATGGTTGAAAACTTTTTTTTTTTGGAAACGGCCGAAAATTCATGTGCGCGCGGATGTCATCCATATAATCAAATCAACATGGCCTAAGTTATATTATGTAGAAGAAGTTTTAATGATCAGTTAGTTGGACAACCCTCCAGCTGCAGTGTCACTGACAAAAGCTAGTGGATGCTACCTGAAACGTCTGACCGTTTTCAAAATCATATCCAGTTGCTTGAGTAATGTTTTTGATGTAGTCTTCAGACTTCCCCACCTGTACCATCTCTGTATCCTAGTCGCTGCCTTGTTGACCCTGTTGATGTACAGCTCTGCCTCGGCCTTGCTGATCGTCTTGGGAACGCCGCGCCGGCCTGGCGGACTACCCTGCTTTGGGCGCGGCAACGACAAGTCCTGATTGGCTGATGGGCTGGTCGGACTTGCCCCCGACGATGCACCGATGTTTCTCAACACATGGGCTTCAGCTGGGTCAAAAATGATAAAATATCAACACAGGATGCTCTGCTGCAGTATAAAAGAAAGCTGCTAGGAGGCACATAATTGAACTTGAACTGGCAACCACCCAGATACCAAATAGCAATCTACATTAAGATCCAACTACATTACACATCTTGACATGTTATGCTGTTTTTCCGTCATTTGGCCTGTGCATATAGGCAGGCAGGCAGGATAGAATTTTGCTGCTCACGACAGACAACAATTGGCATGTAAAGAGATGGCATTTCAGAGGTTTATAATTTTGAAATTTTCCTGGGCGCAGGCTCCTTGTGCCATCGGCATGATGTTACTCACATGTGCATCAAACAAAATTGAGTTGATGGAAAAAAATTTAGACTGGCTAGAACACTGGTAAAGTACAGACAACAAGCTCACCAGATAAAAATGCAGGAAAATAATGTTTTAGATCAAGATTTCAAAATTTTCATGGGGTAGCATGTCCCTAGATTGTTGCTGGCACTCGAAATGATGTTATGTAAAACAAAATTGAGATGACAGAAAATTTCAGGCTGGACAGAACACTGGTACAGTAGAGACTACTACAGACAAGCTCACCTGGTGCTCCCCTTGTAACAGTAGCATTGTTGGGCAGGTTCAGCTGCTTAGCTGGAGGGGACCGTTCACTGTTCAGCAGGTTGGGAGGAGGGGACCGCTCACTGTTGAGAACGTTTGCAGGGGGGGACCGTTCACTGTTGAGGGGGGAGGAGGGCATAGTGCTGTCTGTTCTGTCTGTCAGGGGGATCTTGAACGGGCTGCCTTCAGGCTGGAAAAGAGAGGAAAGAACTTTTTTCTATAATGTGCTAACACAATAGCTTGGATTGTAACATAACAATGACACTCCTGGCTTATCAACTGTTTTACAGAAACTGCAAGGTTCTAGCTACATGTAGGAGTCCTGATGAACTTCTTTCAAAAGATGACAGAGACATTAAAAGATTGTACATTCAGGTTTAGAAAACCGCAAATTCAGACTTTTCTTTCTCCAACAGAACAGCAGGGCTAACCATTTATGGCAAGTAATTTATTCTTGACCCTGTGCCATTTTACTTTTAGCTTGCAAAACTGCAAATTGTTCATACTTCTTTCTGGAATTGTGTCTGCAAATTGTAGGTGTTTTTTTAAATCAAAAGTACAAGTAAGTAAATATTTTAAACCCTGCCCTGAAAAAGACACTGTTTAAACAGAAGTAACACATATAAGCATTACTCTATCTACAGATTAGATGATTGTACATGTATGCCGGTACTCACCATGCCAGGCGGCAGAACTCTGACTGCCCCCACTGATGGAGGTCTGTCCCTGTTCAGTTGTTTCTTGACTTTGGGAGTGTCAAACAACGACAGGAAGTCATCACCTGCTTCGTTGGTCCTGGAAAAAACAGTAAGGCAAAGAAAATTACTGTAGATTCATTTTTTTTGTGGAAGGAGCGCAGCAGTGGTCTTTGCTGTGTTTTAACAGTTGAAACAATTCCAAAGTACAGTAGAAATATAAAAGACATATTTGCAGTGTTATGGTTTCACATTAAGACTGAGTTAGATTAGAAGCAACCGTAAATATGTACCACAAACATTTTAACACTAGTCATGTGTTACGTGTCTTCGTCTTTCTGCATTGCAGTTTCTGTATGTCCTGCAAGAGGGGTGAAGTCTGCTATCTCTGTGTGCCTTGTTGATACAAGTCTGACTCTGACCATGACAAATTACTCTTTGCAGCAGTTTGTAAACATGTGTGATGATGACAAATTACTATGTTAGCAGTTAGTCCATGTCCTCACCTAGGGTTGGAATGTGTGAGTTTGCTGGCTGAAGCTGGTCGCCGGAGGTTTTGTGCCCCCCTCCCCACAGGCGTGAGTCCTGTGCTGCCACTACTCTCGCTGGTGTTGCTCCTCTGTGTGTCTGCTGGGTTGTGACTTCCCGCTCTCCTGTGCTTCCTCTGGGCACCGCTGGAGTAGCCGTTCACGGTCTGACTCTGGAATAAATTTCACAAGAAAAATGACATAATATAGTTCTAATTAAGGATCAACATTCAGTTGCTGCTCTCGCTGGTGTTACTCCTCTGTGTGTCTGCTGGGTTGTGACTTCCCGCTCTCCTGTGTTCCCACTCTCCTGTGTTCCCATCCAGTTGGGGTTTACTGTACAATGAAACAGTAATTATACATTTCTCAACAATAAAGGCCACATGCGTTTGTTTTCTTTTGAACTTCATGAATCTGTCATGAATTTATCATTATCACTAAATGTTTATGTATTTGTAAGAACTTCAATCATGACATGAAAAACTCTATCACATGGGTAACACTCTTAACAGTTGAGTTGGTAAAATACATAGAGAGAATTAAACTGTTCTCCAACACAGGAAAATTCCTGGTGAGTCATTTTTCTTTGAGTTGGAGAGCAGTTTAATTCTTTATAAGAAAATTGTGTTTTACCAACGTCCCCCTGCCCCTCCTGGAGTCTGCAGTAGAAGGTCTGCCAGCGGACCCAGGTCTGTGAGCCGAGGCCGACCCTGGCCGCTGGGACGCCGACCCGGGGCGCTGGGACGCTGACCCGGGCCTCTGGGTCGCTGATGACCCCACACGTTTGTTCCCCGACACCATGGACAGCTGTGACCCAGTCAGGCTCAGGTCAAGGTCGCTCCCTCGCGGAGTCTCCGCGTTCGCCTTCTTTGGAGTCGGCATCTCCGAGAACTGTGGGAGAAAATACAGTAGGGGCGTTATCATTAGATAGCTTTAAACAATGTCTAGAGTTAGATGTTCAAGGGTTAGGTGTAACAAGTTGATCGGTGTAATGTAGCCAGCTGCCGCCATGCCGCGTGCCTGCAAAGCTGGTGTGTTACGCCGAAAGGGAGTTATACCGGCTATACAGATACAGAAGCTGGTGTGTTACGCCGAAAGGGAGTTATACCGGCTATACAGATACAGAAGCTGGTGTGTTACGCCGAAAGGGAGTTATACTGGCTATACAGATACAGAAGCTGGTGTGTTACGCCGAAAGGGAGTTATACTGGCTATACAGATACAGAAGCTGGTGTGTTACGCCGAAAGGGCGGTTATACTGGCTATACAGATACAGAAGCTGGTGTGTTACGCCAAAGGGTGGTTATACCGGCTATACAGATACAGAAGCTGGTGTGTTACGCCGAAGGGCGGTTATACTGGCTATACAGATACAGAAAATCAAGACACTACTAGTCTGGTAAATACGGGCGATTTTGTTTACATCATAGGTCATATACTAGTACATGCAAATTATTTGAAGACGTATGCAAATTATTGGTAGGCAAGTCAGCCAACCGTTACCCACTTTTTGCCTATGTCATGGTGATCGCTCGTATGTGTGTATTACATGGTGCAAATTATTTATACACAAATCATTTATGACGTGAACTCATTGTGATCAAAGGCAGTTAGTTCACCTGGTACACAATATTATTTACTCACTGTAACACACTGCATATGGGTGTGGTAGAATTTTGTTGTTGTTGTCCTTGTTTAACGTCTAATATATCGCTAGACGTGGTCTCTTGGTGCTGGTTTACGCTAGAATTTCAGATTTCAAAATCCGATGTTGACAGGTGTTCGTTAGCTGTCATATTTTTTTACTCCAAACGTCCGTGCAAAAATATTATACACACGCCTGTACAAATCTCATTAACTCTTGGCTTGAAGCTTCTGGTATTTTGTAGCCTGTGCTGGTCAGTATAGCTGTTTAGAACAAACTCTACGCCCTGTTGAAGCGTTAGAATCTTTAGTTTGCGTATCGAACCTGGAAACCCAAGTGCCCCCCTCCCCACCATAACACACACTCGGCTCACAACAAAAACACTGACCGTTTCTATCGTTTCCAGTATCGACAGTGCCCTTAAATGACTCCCCTACACACACAAACACACGCCTTACCTTTCTGTACAGCCGTTTTACCGCAGAACCCTTATTTGGTAGAAGAAAACTGAAATCATCAACAAATTTACTGAACAAAACGCGCGACAAACAAATTTTGTGTACAGTATCCCGGGCCTGCGCACTGCCGCGTTACCCATCATGCACCTGACGTAAGGCGATACTCTGTCAATTTCCTGTTTTTCATCAAACATAAAAGACTCTTTTTAGAAAACGTTTTCAAAGTTAGAAAAATGATTATGCTTAAGTCTAAATGAAATTAGAAATCACAGGAACATGTTACACTCCTTATGATCTAGGTAATTGGAATAAATTCAAAATAAAAATTAATTGCGATCATGAGGATAGGTTTGTCAATGTTTGCAGTTTTGAATTTATGGTATTGTAAAGCCTCAAAGCGTTGTTAGTATATCTTTAGTACATGCAAGTCTCCTAGTATATCTATTTTGCATTTTCACAAAATCAAAATTGTCCCGTCAGAAATGGCCTCCTTGGCTTAATTAACAAAACCTCAGGCACTTTTCTATGTCTAATGAAATATCGCCTTGTTAATGAGTTTTCAATGGTGATATCATTTTAAACATTTACTAAAAGTGAGTGATTTACTAAAAAATAGGTAGGTATTAATTGTCTTTTGTTGAAGATTAATGAAATAATGATTCATTGATCATTTGGATCATATATTATATGGATTCTAAGGCAATAAACTTAACATTAAGTTTACATTATGTGACAAATGTTCGTGCCAATCATTCTGTAAAATTATTATATTTCAACTGTTAAAGTTAGAAATCAAAACTACATTTGCAAATGTCAACAATATTTCACAAAGATGATTTTTCAAAATCCTAAGTTAACCTTAATTATTAAAATGAAATTTAAACATATAATACAGTAACCTGTGAAGAGCACACCTTGTGTATTGTGTAGGTATTGGTCAGGTGCAGGTGCAATATTCTCACTCAAATGTTGCACACAATTAGATCACTCTATTATCACTTCGCCATTTGATATAGACTCCGTTTGATTATCACGTCAAACTGACGCCCGTTTTCCTGGGTATTTTTAGGAATATCTCGGTTTTCCATTGATAAAAGCGTCCTCCATTATATACAGCTAACGTTAGGTATGGTGTCAGCATCGCATTTCATACACCTTCAGCCGCGGAGCGATATCTATACTGCGTCACTCCGAGCAAAAGTAGTTCTACACCTTACCTTGCGGCCGATTTGTATTTCTCACCAATATTTCGACCATTGTTATCATATTAATGATATAGATAAATGTAGTTTTAAAATGCGTGCGTTATAAATTTATTTCTGAGGCATTTATGTGCAATATTCTTTTCCTTGTCTGGCGGATGGTTGTTGCCTCATGTAGACGCACAGCGGTCGCGTAGAAAGAAGGCAGCCATCTTGAATCGGGAGCTAGTGGCCGAGCCATTGCACGAATATCTCCTTAAAAATGTACTTATCCCTATGTTGGTTCCATTTGAGGCTCTAAAATTGTTCTGTAGTCTTTGTTCTGTTCATTCGTTCCACGTTTGTGGCTCTAAGATGTTCCTGTGGGCCAATATTTGCCCGAACGCGAGGGCTTTCGGTGGTCTAAGTTTGTTATTGTTCGTGGGGCCCGTCGGCGAAAATAATCCTAGTTTCTTCTTTTTCCACCCCAGACTGCGCCTTGTAGTATGGTACTGAGAGTCCTGAGGAGAAAGGTGTAGGATGGCGGACAAAAGAAAATTGCAAGGTAAGTCCTTATCCTTACCAGGGCGTTCAAATTTGCCAACGGATTGGTCGATTTTTGAGGGGCCCGCGCGGGATTTTGTCGCCTTCCACACGGTCTCCATTGCCGGACGGTTGGTACCTTATCAGTTTGGCTGTCATTTGCAGATTGTGCATTTCTCGTAGCATGTTTTTCGGACTGCAGGCGAAACATTCGGACCTACCACGCACGGGATTATTATTTTTTTCCCGAAAGAAAGCGGTTGCGTCGCACATCATTTGAGCGTGTATGTTGTTTGACATGAAGCTTTGAAATGGTCCGGTGCTTACAGAAATGAACTTCATTTGTCTGAGTGCCCCCCCCCCCCCACAAGTATACAGGTGATTACAAATATACTGTGATTTTATTGTCGACAAAACTGAGTTTCTTCAAAGCATCACACACCATATAATGTAAAACAGTCCCTCCAAAATCCAGTTACACACTGGCAGAATAGCTATATAGGTTCATATCACTGATAGCTTTATGATACAGTATTACTCAATAGTGAAAGCAGAAGTGGTTGAAATGTTTTAGATTGCTTGGCTTCTGAACAATGGGTTTCCTGCTAGAAAATATATTCAAATGCTTGAAAACTCAAGTCTTGCACATTGTTAGACAGTACAGTTTGCTGGATAGGGTACTCTAAAGGGTAAACAAGGTGTTTGTTTCCTCTGTTTTGACTGCAAGGATACTATTTCCTTTTGGAGTGGAGGGGGGGGGAGTTGGAAACGAAATGTGATACCACTGATGTCATATATATTTATTTTAATATAGTAACAATCTGTAGGCGTGTCAAAGTAATGATTAGGGGTCATCTTTTTGAATGGCTTTAGACAATTGTGGAGATGCAAGAACGTTAGAGAACAAAAGGCTGTGTGTTACAGTCCCTACAGTGTGTGAAACACTTTCTATTGTTATTCCAGATTTTCACAACAGTAGCAAAAGTTGAAAATGCAAGGGTAATACAAAATTATGCATGCTTGTCCCTTGGCTCTGCTAATTTTCTCATATTTCACAAGTTTTACCCAAATTTCCTTGTAAAATCTAACCATAGTTGGTACCAATTGTGATAGCTTCTTTGTATGGATCTGAGTCAGAAGCAAGACCTCTTCAAAATACTATTTCTTGAACTAGAAGTACTAGAATAGGCCTGTGTCAGCACTTCAGCGTTGAAATCCATCCCTTGGGAAAAATAATAAGAGAATCTTAAAACCATTGATTCTTTGATTTATTGTATAGAATTTCTGATAATACAAGATTTTAGGAAAGTAATCAAGTAGAAAAGCTTTCTCCATGTGGTAATTTATTGTAGGAATATGTATCATTTCACATGTTCTAGTGCAGGAGTAGGAATGACCACACAAGCAGACAGATAAGGTTCAGAGTGGTGATTATTGCATTATTCACCTCTATTCTAACCTAGGCCAACAGGGACATTGTACTTGCAGGTTTAGCTTGATAGTACCTTACTGTAGTTGATACTGGTTTTGTAGTACAATGTAATAATATTCGAGTCATCAGGGGAGTCAAGATTTGATCCAGGCCCAAGAATTTAACAAGCTGTCTTAAAGTCTTATTCTGCCTTATTCACCTGTAACCTAGGCCAGCAGGTACATTGCACATTGCAAGTGTAGTGTAATCTGATTGTACCTTACTGTAGTTGATGCTGGTTTTGTAGCAACAATATTTGAGTCATCAGGGGAGTCAAGATTTGGTCCAGGCCCAAGAATTTAACAAGTTGTCTTATTCTGCCTTATTCACATGTAACCTAGGCCAACGGGTATATTGTACAAGCTGCAAGTTAAGCTAATGCTTGCTTGTACCTTACTGTAGTTGATGCTGTTTTTGTAGCAACAATATTCGAGTCATCATCAAGGGAGTCAAGATTTGGTCCAGGCCCAAGAATTTAACAAGTTGTCTTATTCTGCCTTATTCACATGTAACCTAGGCCAACGGTTACACTGTACATTGCAAGTGTATCTTGATTGTACCTTACTGTAGTTGATGCTGGTTTTGTAGCAATATTCAAGTCATCAGGGGAGTCAAGATTTGGTCCAGGCTAGTCAAGAATTTAACAAGCTGTCTTAAAGTCTTATTCTGCCTTATTCACCTGTAACCTAGGCCAATGGGTACACTGTACAATGCAGGTTTAGCTTGATTGTACCGGACTGTACTGTAGTTGATGCTGGTTTTGCACGTAGCAACAATATTCGAGTCATCAGGGGAGTCAAGATTTGGTCCAGGCCCTGAATTTAAAAGCTGTCTTATTCTGCCTTATTCACCTGTAACCTAGGCCAACGGGTATATGGTACAAGCTGCAAGTTAAGCTAATGCTTGCTTGTACCTTACTGTAGTTGATGCTGTTTTTGTAGCAACAATATTCGAGTCATCAGGGGAGTCAAGATTTGGTCCAGGCCCAAGAATTTAAAAAGCTGTCTTATTCTGCCTTATTCACCTGTAACCTAGGCCAACGGGTACATTGTACATTGCAAGTGTACCTTGATTGTACCTTACTGTAGCTGGTGCTGGTTTTGTAACAATATTTGAGCCATCAGGGGAGTCAAGATTTGGTCCAGGCCCAAGAATTTAACAAGCAGTGTCCACAGTTGCCAATATCAATCTCTCAGTGTCACTTTCAGACTGTTTTGTGGTGTGCTAAAACTACAGGCCATTTCACTTTATAGTGTTCCCCCTAAGACTCGGACAAAAGGGAGAGAGATATACAGTAGTTAGTGTCTAGGATTCATATATCTCCTTGTCACCATCCAAGCACCTAATGGCTTAATGACTCTTATAAGATGAAGTCAGCAAAACTCAAGGGTCTAACACTGCAGCATTGGGATGCACACCTGTCTGATTGTGATGTGGTCAGTTCTCTTGTGCAGGGCTCGAAATTCATTTTTGGGAATAGGTGCACTGGTGCAGCCAACCTAAAAAATTAGGTGCACAAAAAATTTTTGGTGCACCATATGAAACAAAACCTAATTACAGATCTTACTGCTCCTCTTCTGATCTTGAATGTAAGATGAGAGCTAACTTCAAAATCTTAAACGAGTACTACAACAAAGATTTTATTATTTTTCTGATACTTAGAGACCAAGAATATCCGGTATACTATTATACATTTCTAATGTTAAAAATTCCTACAAAAATATTTGGGGGCACCTGTGGACCCACAGAAAAAAATTGGGTGCACAACTCCAATTTTGGATGCACTAAGGTGCACATGCACCCAGTATTTCCAGCCCTGTCTGTTCCCTTGCAAAATTCAATACCAGCTCTTGGGAACCAGCTGAACAAAAGCGTACTTCACTTACAGAAAATGCAAGCATCTTTCATAATCATAGTCCCAAGTGTCTTGAACTGAAGCATCTGGAAGTCTAAGAATAACTACCATACACAATTGGATGCGCTATCTTTGTCAGTGAAGTCAAGCCAAGAGAGGATGTGGTAAGGTTTACCACAGAACAAAAGCGTCGAACAATGCTCAAAAGCCTGGTGAATCCTAGAATTCAGGACAATTTACTGGTTCTAAAGTAAGTCTAGCTCTTGCATTTTCTGCCCTGTTCAGTGTGAAATGTCTAGGGACTATCCAGATCCATATACGTAGGAGTACAGTCTAGTATGTCAGAATGTTGCTTCTAAATGGTGACAATGTAATTGGTTTTCTTGCACAAGATCAGGTAGAGATGAAAATGGCATTACGTCTGTCAATACACATTCGGGAAAGATACTCAAAATTAAATGATCCAGCTAGTTCACAGATTTAACTGTGTAGAAAAAAGAACACCAACAATTTCATTCCTCTTACTTCTTATGTGATGGACTATTTAGTATTTACTAAGTATCTGTTTGTATCTAGTATATTGTACCTAATTATCTATTGCTACTTCTAGACAATGAAAAATCATGGTGCAAAAAGCTTATGTAAATCTTTGTCCAGATATGTAGAACTGAGAAATGACAAAATTATTTGTAATATGTAGAAAGGGCAAAATCATAAAATATCCTTAATAAAAGCAAATGAAAAAATTGTGCAAAATATTACTGACATTATGAACACACCTGTATAAATTATATTACCAGTATGCATCAATGTAAGATATCATGTGGTCATGTAGATGGCGATATATTGGTTTGTGATATAATTATAAATCATGGAAATGGCTGGTATTTAGATTTCTGAGATGAGGTTTTCATATGGTTCTTACCTCTCTGTGCATTTATGTATGAGTAGTTAAATGTTCTTTAAGTTAAACACAAGATGCTGAAGAAATTTGTGAGCTGAATTCTGAAGAGCAATTAAAGGCTTGAAATAACCACCTGTAAATTTGCAGACTAAAAATAAGCCACAATTAGCCAAAACAAAGAAGTACAGTATTTTAATTAAGGCATGCTATTAATAGAAGCCCAGTGTTTTCAAAATTATTGTCTTCATTCCAGAGTGTTAATTATTTCTACAAAGGAACCTCTCCCTTGACTGGCACCTGTCTTTTCTAATCTTAGTCTTGCAGCTCTTGGGCAAAATTAGTGTAATTTATGTCAAATTAGTGTAATTAAGTATAATCTAAGTTAATTATGCGTGCTGTCTTGAATAGCACACATAAAATTTTATAATAAATGGAAAGTAAATGATGAAAAATGATAAGTTTAACTGAGCAATGTGATTAGAAAGGGTTGTTTATGCCATGCATAAATGAATTAGCATATGGCACTGTTTGACAATTGATGCAAAAGTGATGTTACGTTACGTTCTGTTCTTGGCTGGTTTTAGCCAGAATCAGAGATTTTTTTTATTCACAATATTCTCAAAGATTATAGTTTAGTACAATGTACCAGTGTTCAGTATGCATAGCACCCAGACCTGAGTTACTTGAAGATTTTATATGTCGTCTTTCATTAAGAATTTTTAGTGGGAATCACACATGTACATGTGGCATGTCTCTCTGGGGGACAGTTGTGCATAATCAATTCCAACGCAGGGATGAAATTCTGTATATCCATAACCTTACCCAGGGCTCCAGATTTCCACCGGAAACCTGCAATTTGGAATTTCCAGAAATTAATGTCATACAGAAAAAATATTAGCTTGCAACTTTGCAGGAGAAAAAAATAATAATTCAGGCATGGTGTTCTGAATTCTGAATTACATATTGTTGTTGCCATAAATTTGTATATTATATTGTTTGGTAACTTTATCTTCTTTACATTACATGGTGTTCAAGAATAAGAGCTTTTGTGGATACTATTTACTCTATCATCAATTCATCATAGTTATATGCAAGTAATTTTCAAAATTACTTTACATGTAAAATGTTTGCAGACATGCAATTTTGTATATGCTATGGGTTTATACCCAGACTTTCAAGTTTGTATTCACAGAAAATTTTTATGAATTGCAGAACAAAATTTTGACATTCTGCAATATTGCAGCACACTGAAAAAAAGTATTTCTACCACTGAAATATATTTTATCTTGAAGGTACATGTAAAGATTTCCATTGACGTGTTTTGATTGACATGTTTTCTTGTCCCTTGTGTCCAGGTGAGATCGAGAGATGCCTGAAGAAGGTCAGTGAAGGTGTAGAAACCTTTGAAGACATCTGGCAAAAGGTGAGTCTTGGGAGTTCCTTACGCAGGTTACTTCGCAGGTAGACGTGCGCTGCTACACAACTATGTTCCAACACAAAATTTTCTTTTTTGTGTGTCATATGATAGAGAAAATGTTAGTAAAAACTCTACATATTTCATGGAGGAGTGAGGTCTCCGATTTCTTGTTTGTCTTGAAGTAAAACCTTTGATTTGAAGACACAGTCTTGGGAATGGGAGTTCCTTACGCTGGTTACTTGGCAGGTAGACGTGCTCTGCAGTTAGACCAGGGTTCTTGACAACTTTTCCATCATCTACAGTTTTCGAAATACCCATCTGCATTTTGCAGAGAGACTTACAATATTGCAGCAGAAAAATGCTACAATATGCAATTTTGCATTATTAAATTGAGAAGGTTGTAGTATGGAGGCTTGTGTACTAGTATTTGCAGAAATTGTTTCTAATAGCATTAAAAAAAATTTGAAAAAAAGTATTTCAACCACTGGTCTCAATTTCTACAGCAAAACTACACCCATGCTCTGGTGTGATTTAGTCAAATTTTGGGTATTTTCCCTGTTCCTAAACACCAATTCCTTTTTTTCTGTCATATGATGAAAAATGGATGCTGTAAAGAACCCTGGTTAAGAACACTGCAAAGCAACGTCTGAGTTATCCTTACATGTTAAGTGGAAATGTGTCCAAATGTGCAAAGTATATACTATAGTACTGTTTTTAGATCTTCTTGGTAGAAAAATTTTGCATTAACTGTCATTTTGCCATGCTTTAGGGATGTTTCTCCAAAATTGCAAAGTGTATGACTATCTTTAAATCTTGGTGGTTGGAAAATTTTGCATCAACTGCCGTATTGCAATGTATAATTTATACAGACATTATAAATGATGCACTAACCGTGTGCAAGGATTGAGTGGCGACACAGTTTGAAGTTATTCCCAATCATAGGAGCCGGCAATCATTAAACATCCCCGGAGATTTGATGTTGTTGGGTGGTACATTATCATTTGCAGAATATCTGTCTGTTTCTGATGAGGCTTAGGAAAAAATGTTCTGTTTCCTGTTTCAGTCTTGAAAAAATTAGGGTCGGTAGGTAGGGATTATCTTTTTTCTTCTTTCTTTTTTATTAGACTTTAGTGATCTTTAGTGATGGAACTAATACAAACAGTTTAACTTACAAAACTTGAGTGAGGATGCTTATTTTTTCAATGTCAGTGTTCAATGTTGGAAAACCGATTGTACAACGTTTCATCACTCAGGTGTCAGATCATGGAGCTAGAAAAGGTCGATCAGATTGAACAGTTTATTTCCGTTGCAGGGGTCCACACACAAAAAAAGGCTTGGGTCGGCAGGTTTTTCTAGGGTCAGTCGGGAAACAGGAAACACAATTTTTTTTCCTAGGCCTGGATGGCACATTATCATTCGCAAAATATCTGTCTGCTTCTGATGACTGTGACGGTGTAGGGGTTTGTGCTGGCCAATCAGAAAGCGGTTTTGGTGTTCCAAACTGTCACGTCGCAAAGATTGGATTAAATTCCATCAGCTGGAAACAGCTGTGATTTTCCTGGAATCGAGGCTTGGGCCTAGGAAAAAAAATGTTGTGTTTCCTGTTTCTTGACCGACACTAGCAAAACCTGCTGACCCTAGACTTTTTTTGGGTGGGTGGACCCCTGCAAGAGACAATTTTTCGAGCTGATCAACTTTTCTAGCTCTATGATCTGACAATTGAGTGATAAAACGTTATACAATCGGTGTCCAACATTGACATTGAAAATAAAAGTGTCCTCATGCAAGTTTTACTTTATTAAACTGTATTGTATAAGTTGGACCCCTATATAGATATCACTGATGTCTAAAAAAAAGATAATCCCTACCTACCGACCCTAATTTTTCAGCACCGAAACAGGAAACACAACATTTTTTTTTTCCTAGGCCTCGTGCAAATGACGGTTTCAGTTTCTCCAGCAAATACAACTACTTAATCATGGACAGATTTGGTCCATCTTATGTCATTTTACATAATGCCTTGATTACCATGCTGCAACAAAATGACGTTTCAAATTTGTAGTAATGAGAAGGTGTATGTTACCACCATTTTAAGGCTTCCATGAATACCGTGGTAATGCTGTCTCAGGTGTTTTTACTTCAATTTTATTTATTTTTTAATCTTTGACCTATGTTTGATCTAGTATATGTTGAGCTGTAATAAAAATCTCTTAGAACTGCATTTCAGGGCTTGAAATACTTACATGTATTTCTGCATACCTGCACTGGTTTAAATAAACCTGAACCAGAGAAATTTTACATGCAGCACCACAATTTAGGGAATTTGGATCAGACTAAATTCTGTTCAAAAACCATTATTTCTTCTACACTTTTATAATATACATGTAGGTGGTGACAGTCAATGCAGCTAATAAAAATCTACATACACCAAAATTTTAGAGTACAGTACAAGGACTGGTGCAGGTTAGGTGCAGGTAGACATCAGAAATACCTGCACAGCTCCAATTTTACCTGCACTAACCTGCATACGGCATATACCCAGTACATGAACCAGTACAGGTTAGGTACAGGTAGACATCAGAAATACCTGCACAGCTCCAATTTTACCTGCATTAGCCTGCATATGCAGGTGGTATTTCCAGCCCTGCATTTGTTACCCAGTGAGTGAGTGAGTGAAGGTCCAGTCCTTCCACTTGTGGTTGCAGAGTTGTCAGTTTTGTGCTAGTCCTTTGTTAGGCAGATTATGGGTCTGTAATTGCAACGTCACGTAGCTTTTGTATCCCAGCTCTTACTTACCCTTCATGCCTCGGAGGCAGTTCAGTTCAATCAAAAGGACAGTTTCTGTTGCCATTTTCTCAACCAATGGAGTAGCTATGGTAGAGAGCTTTTGTGCATTTTAGCCAGAATGTATGGAGTTTTAGAGATAGGCAATACATTAGTTTTTGGGACAGTTGCCAATTGTATAATCTTCAATAAGTTTTTGGCAAGGATGATAAGGACTCTAAAAGAAGCACTTCTGATAGATTTATGTCCCTTGCAGGGGTCCATCAAAAAAAAAAGGCTAGGGTTGGCAGTTTTTTCTAGGGTTGGTCAGGAAACACAACATTTTTTTCCTAGGCGGAAAAACTGTAACAACTCTGAAGAGAAGGGACTTCCATCAACTGTTGGGGGCAATATGACTGTATAATGAGCATTTTGGAGTTGATTCAGTGGCTGAAATGTTTTTTTTGAAAGTCAGAAAAAATGAAGCGGGTGAATCCGTGAACCTGAACAAATGAAATCGGTGAGGCCTGACAGTGAGAAAGAAATCTTTCCCACAAATCTGGCTGAAGCATGCAGGGCTGGCTGGTCCCACCCTGATCCATCTGTGGCCCTCCTGCCCACCAACCATCAATTCAGGGCTCAAAGTTTGAGAATAGGTGCACTACTGGTGCCCCAACTTAAAAAATTGGGTGCACAAAAATTTTTTGAGTGCACCATATGAAACAAAACCTAATTGCAGTTCTTACTGCTCCTCTTCTAAGCTTAAATATGAAATGGGCAATCTTACAGAACTACTACAGCAAGATTTTATTATTTTTCTGACAGATTCCAAGATTCCTTTATACTATTATTCATTTAGTATGTAAAAAATACGTACAATTGAAAAATATTTGGGTGCACCAGTGAACCCACAGAAAAAAAATGGGTGCACAGCTCCAATTGTGAGTGCACTAAGGTGCACATGCACCCAGTATTTCCAGCCCTGCCTCCCTTATTCATCTGTGGCCCACCAACCATCAATTGCAGCTTGATTTACTCCCAATAGCCATGCGCAGTAATACTGATAGAGCTAATACTTTGTTTTCAGTTCCTGCAATATTGTAGAATGTCAAAATTTTGTTCTGCAATTAGGAAATACTGAAATACACACTAAAAGTTTGGATCTAAACCCAATACATGTACAAAATTGAAATTATGTTAGTACAAAATACATGCAAAATTACTTGCATATTATAGAGTGAGAGGTAGACACAAAAGCTCTTAAAGTTAAACACCATTGAACACCATGTCTGATTTTTTCAGTCTGAAAAATTGCAGGTTACTTAATTTTTCTTCTGCTATATTGAAAATGTCTCTGCAAAATGCAGACTGCAGATGGGTATTTCTAACACTGCTCTCCTGCCCACCAACCATCAATTGCAGCTTGATTTACTCCCCATCCGTGCACAGTGATACTAACACAGCCAATCATAATTTATCTCTCTCAGAGGCAAAATGCCACCAACTGCAGCGAAAGAGCAGGCCAAGAATAATTATGCGGCCAACCGATTCATATTTAAGTGGCAGGAAGATTCCATTTCGGGCTATTAACTTTTTATAACAATATGGTATTGTAGAAATAAATTTACAGACACTGGCATGCAATAATGTCCTATTGTCTGTGAAGAATTATAGATGTATTTAGGATGTGACATTGTGTGTGTTTTCCATAACATATATCATCAAACGTTTTCTAAAATAGAAATATTTTTGTAGCTAAGTTTTCCATAACTACAGCCTAGCACATATATTAAGTGCCATAGCTTTTAGTTAAGTTAATAACCATTAACAAAAAATCAATTCAAGATGGTTTGCTTATACAATGACAGCTATAATTTATAAAAGTCAGTAGCTGAAACACGTGGTGAGAAATTTTATTCAGAATCAAAATCATGGATTATCTACAAAATCCCCATAGATCCATAGAAATCACTTATCGTTTTAAGAATCTGGTCAGAATAGGTCCAATACAGGTAGCCTTTGTAGCAGGCTTATAGAACTGGGGGTTTGGTGGTCTTCGGCTGTTTTCTGATTAGCCTCCGTAGCAGGCTTATAGAACTGGGGGTTTGGTGATCTTCGGCTGTTTTCTGATAAGCAAAAAACGGGGGTAATTCAACCAGGCTGGCTATGTTGTCTAGTATATGCAATCAGAAAATAGCACATAAAAGCTCCCAAAGACCCTGAAGACCCCCAATTTTTGGCATGCTATGGAGGCTACAATGCAGGTATTATCAATGTAGTTTTGCTAGTACACGTGCAACTGTGCACGTAGGCAAAGGCAGTTGCCCCCAAGGAGTTAAGAAAAATACATGAAAAAGCCAGGCTCTAATAGTCTAAAGGGTAAAATCATTCAAAACCTTCAAATCATAGCAGCTAAGTAGAATCTGGCCTTTGATACGCTTCACACCCATTGAGCCATTAAAGCAGAATAAAAATAGCTGTGGCAACAATTTCTGGAAGTTGAGTTAATGTCGCTATGTATTTATGTGGTATGCATGTCTTTGTTGTTAAAAACCTTGTCATCTGTACAATCTGGTCAGTGGATTGTTAGGACCTAAGTGGACAGTTTGAGCAGTGAAGATAAAAGAATAATTTGAGTCAAAATTACTAAATTATACACATGTAATTGTATTCTTGGTAAATAGCTGGTCAATTATGTAAAGATTTTTTATGATAGCTGTGATTTACTAAAATTAGGCTAACATCAGAGAACTGAATTTCTCAGAAAAAAAACATGTTATTGTTACATACACAGTGCAAGCCTTTTGCCTTGCAGATATTCGAATGTATGGGTTCAGAATCTGATTTTGCCAGTATTCTTTGTCTATTCAAAACATTATTACATTATTTTACGCCATGTAGAAAAAGATAGTTGCAGTGTGCTTGTAATAGTACTAAGCTGCAAAGGTCCCTGTACAATGTATCCTTGTTATCACATACGTACTTAAATCATAGACAATATTTGAACATGTATGCACACTGGGTATGATGTTAGCAATGCTTACATTGTCATTTGCGTCTTGCATATTGTAGATGGATGTCAATATTTGCCTTTTTGACTGATGGTCTCACTTTTAGACATGGATACATGTGTATGTGTGTATCAGATTTACTTTAATCATGTACAAATGTTGCTTTTAATTGCTAGAATGATATCTGTCCAACTTTAAGGTGTAGCAAGTTTAATGGATGGAATTACAATGTTTTTCCAGGTGAACAATGCAACCAACTCCAACCAGAAGGAGAAATATGAGAACGACCTTAAGAAAGAAATCAAGAAACTGCAGGTGAGAATTTCAAATTTGTAAAATTGTCAGACATTTTCAAAACAGTTATTTTTGTTATGTAAATTAATGCAAAATGGGAGAGGCTTGATTATTTTTTTGCAATACAAAATAACACAAAGAAACAACAAAGATATGATCACTGCTTTTGAATCTGCAGGAGCTATACATACATGTATGGCTTTGTACTACTGTTAATTCACTTTATGTTCACGGTAGCAAAATGTCAAGGTCTGAGAAAATGGACATGTTTGTGGAATAATATATATACACTGTGCAGGTGCAGGAAAAAGAAAGTCCAGGAACTATTTGTTAACTGTAATGATAAGTTCATGGTACAGAAGTGACAGTGAAAACTGTGAACATAACAGTACACTGAAAAAAAAAGGAATTACAGTAATATAAACCCCTGGGTACAAGATTCTTCTTTTCATGGAGACCTTTTCTCCCGCTTTGCAACAAGGGAGTTGGGTCTTTGTGTAAAAAGTCCTCTGAATCTGCATTGTGCATTGTTGTACATATATGCATTATGTATAACTGTATGTACTATTGTGGATGGCTGATAAAACATGGTGATGCCTTGGGGCTGGATTATCGGCAATTACCGACCATCAAAAACAGTCACATTTTGGAGACGTGTGCGCATGTTTTGGCATGCCTACACAACAAAAAGAACCTGTCAGGGAAATTGTATGTGTAAGCAGTTGGTAAAGGTTAACGTTAGTAATGTTTTAAAAATAAAAAATTCAAATGTGTGCTCTTTTCAAAATCATTATTAGGTATAATATATAATCAGTATCTTGTGTTTGCTTCATGTATGTCATTGTATTTACAGGTCCATTTGTGACTGACTGTTTGGATTTTAATTAACTGAACTTAGCTTTAGGCTTATCATTGTCATTCTCCCAATGCTACAAAATGATTATCTTTAGGCAAAAATCATGATTTACCCCTGTGCAAAGTGTATATATTTTATTACAGAAATTTGTTTTACATATAAAAATTATGAAAAATGTGTAAAATATTGTAGAGAAAAGCTGATTGATATTGATGAGGATGACAGGTGATGTTGATGATAGGATGATGATGATTTTGATAGGATGATGATTGTGTTGATAGTGATGATAGGATGATGGTAAGGATAGAGTTGAAGATGATGATGATGATGAAGATAACAGTTAGGATGATGATAAAGATGACGATGGGTGAATGATGGTGTGGATGATAATTTTCAAGATGAAGGATGATGAGAATGAAGATGATAATTAGGATGATGATAAAGATGCTTATTGTGTATTTCAGCGGTTGAGAGACCAGATCAAAACATGGGTAGCATCAAACGACATCAAGGACAAAAGGCAGCTGCTGGAGAACAGAAAACTCATTGAAACAGTAAGTAGTGGGTTTTTTTCTGTTAGGCCACACCAATTTAATTTGTTGGTTAACGGATTCGCCCGCTTCATTTTTTTCTGATTTGCAAATAGAAATAAAAATTCAGAATCAACTGCAAAATGCTCATATTTTGCCCTGAACAGTTGAAAACAGTCCTTTTCATCCTAGTTGTTACAGTTATTTCATCTTTCAATGCAATGGTATCATTAAAAGTTCAAAATTCATTGTTTAAATTTTGAACCAGCCTTGTGTGTTGACTTCATGGCTCCTATCGTACCATTTAGGGCCATAATAGGATGCCTAGGCCTGCTTTTTTTTTTCACCTGCCTGCTCCATTATTTTTCTAGAAAAATCCGTTATCCAAGAAATTAAATTGGTGTGGCCTTAGGTGGAGCATTAGTTTGAGTTCTAACGTCAATGTGCAGAGTGGAGTGTGAACTTGGATAGCACTTGCACACTCGGACATGCCGGAGTCATCAATAAATTTATGTTGGGCATCAACGAGAAGAAAAAGACTGTTTTATTCAGTTAAACAAGCTGGCTATTGTGGTGACTTAGACAGTTACCCTGATACTAAGACTAGTGATAGGAACAATTACATACACAGAAAATATCATCAACAAGACCGTAAGAAATATAAATCGTCCAAATGGAACCAAATTGATATCTAACAGCAAACAGAACTATCAAAATCAAAACTATCCTTATGAGTACATGTAACCTGCCATGTTGTAACAAGTACATGTTATGCCACGTGTGTCTGATTTGTGATTGAGAAGGTGAAGCCACAAGCTGGTTACGGCTATTACGACTCACAGAAAATAGCTTTTCTTGGAAGGGTCTCTTCATAAACCACCCTAACATCTGGTTTTGGCTATTACGACTCACAGAAAATAGCTCTTCTTGGAAGGGTTTCTTCAGGAGCTACCCCAACATCTGTCCAAATTTGGTCAGACCACCGAAGCACCCCCGCGGTTTGAAGCGATAATCGTGTTTGCATGGGCGGCTTGAAAGAAGTTTTCTTCCTCATTATCTGTGCAGTCTATTTCTGGCAGGGCTGTCCATGGTACTGAAGGGTGGGCACCATGTTTGGTTATCTAAGCGTAGGAAAAAAATGTTGTGTTTCTTATTTCAGTCTTGAAAAGGATAGGGTCGGTAGGTAGGGATTATCTTTTTTTTCCTTCTTTTTATTAGAATTTGGTGATCTCTATTGATCTAACTTATACAAAACAGTTAAATAAATCAAGATTTTCATGAGGACACTTATACTTTCAATGTCAATGTTGGAAAACCGATTGTGCAACGTTTTATCACTCAAGTGTCAGATCAAGGAGATAGAAAAGGGCGATAGCTAAAAAAATTCATGTCCCTTGCAGGGGTCCACAGGGTCGGCAGTTTTTTTTTAGGGTCGGTCAGGAAACATAGATGTCTGTTTGAGAAAGCCATGGGTTCATACAGCTGTTTCCATATGGATGTAAACTATAACAGGAACATGGATACTCTGTTTTAATGAATTTACTCTATGGTAGAAAATTTTTATGGGTCTTTATTTGGTCAAACTGAAAGAAAAGTCTTAGGTAACAGTTACTCAAGCAAGACTAGTGGATAATTTTACAAGGCAAACGATTTGATAGGCAAATCTTTCACTTATGGTCAATCACCATTAAATACTTGACTTACTTGACAAAAGTCGGGTGCCACTCCTCTGCCACCCGAACCACAATGGCTGCCCAGTAGTCTCTGTCCTCCATCACCTTCCCCATGTCTTCGGCCCGAAGGCCAACGTCCCTTCGCAGCACGTCTGGGTAAGTGAGGGGTGGTCTTCCCGGCCTCCTTCCCCCGTGTGCTGGGGACCACAGGACAAGGTGCGAGGCTATCTCCCTGCAGTTCCTTAGTGTATGGCCAGCAAACCGCAGTCGCCTAGCTCGTATTTTTGTCGTCAGTTTAGGGAGTCCAGCATAGAGCTCTTTGTTTGTCAGATGTTGTTCCCAATGTACATTATGGACACGCCTCAGCATCCTTGTGTAGCAGCCATCCAGTTGCTTTTCCAGTTTGGGAGTCACCGTCCACGCTTCACAGCCGTACAGGAGTACCGACTCCACCGTTGAGAGGAAGAGGCGTGTCTTGAGCTTGCTTGCTACCATTAAATAGGTCTGATTAATTGTGTGTGAATTCTCCTAAGTCTTTTCTACAAGTACAATCAGCATTAGATCGACATGGCTTAATGCCTTGTTGCAAGGACTGAAGTACTCTCTATAACACACAAACTATGTGAGTGAGAAAAGTGTGGAATCCAGTTTTTGCCACCAGCTCGTCACTAGGTACCACTAGTCACTAGCACACCGATGTTTATGACTTTTTTTCCCTGTTTTTCAGCAAATGGAAAGATTTAAGGTGGTGGAAAGGGAGACCAAAACAAAAGCGTACTCGAAGGAAGGTTTGGGGCTGGCGCAGAAAGTAGACCCAGCGCAGAAAGAGAGAGACGACACAATACAGTGGTTAACGGTGAGTCAATGTTCAATGTTAGAAATACCCACCTGCAGTCTGCATTTTGCAGAGAAATTTGCAATGTTGCAGAAGAAAAATGAAGCAACCTGCAATTCTGCAGACTAAAAAGGATTGGACTTCAATTGCATCTGTATATATATTGTTTAGCAGCTTTTTGCTTACTACTGACTTAATGTTCTCTAGGTATGAATGTATTTTTCGAATTGCATGTAACATGTCAATATGCAATTTTGTATGGGATCGAAACTTTGAATCCAGCAAGATAAAGAACCCACTACACTTAGTGAAAATGTAGGAGTGAGTGGTTCAAACCGTCAACCTATTTTACCAACCACCTGTTATGTCCATCCTTCCACATACGTGGTAATTATAGATAAATATTGTTTGTTTTTGCAGGATTCCATCGAGAGACTAACACTGCAGGTGGACCAGTTCGAGAGTGAAGTCGAGGCTGTCCAAGCGTCGTCCAAGAAAAAGAAACTTGATAAGGATGTATGTAGACACGACATTCATTATTGTCACTCATTGTTTCATTTTGTTCTTGAAAATTCAGAGAAGAATCCCACTTTGCGGCCCAGCCTCATTCGTCATAGATTGTTGTAATCTCAGATAGGATTTTCCATGTACCAAGACAACTGCATTTGCAAGGCACATGCACAGCTGTTACAAGAATGCCGTTGGTTTGCGATCGTATGATGTACATGTAGTTGATGAAGGTCCCATGCCAAGGTTCATGATTGGACCTGGGGGGAGAGTGCTTGAAATCTAGGGGGGTCTGGGGACAAATTTTGGATTTCCAAGCGTTTAAAAATGCAATTTCCCACATTTTGAGAGTCAAATCATGGGATTGAAAGTGTTTGTTGGTGGTCTTTTCGATGTCTTTATATTCCTACCCAAGAATTTTGCCAATTGTGTCCATGAAGGTTGACGGATTGGTTTGAAAATTTGCGTTGTGTTTCCCCTATAGAAACAGGGAAGAGTAGATGAGTTGAAAAACCTGTTGGAGAGGCATAGGTACCACATCAAGCAGTTGGAAACACTCTTAAGAATGTTGGACAACAGCGCGGTGGAGGTCGAACAAATAAAAAACATCAAGGACGAGGTTGAGTACTACATCGAAGCATCGCAGGTAAGAAGTCTGCTTTCTGAAACCTTTAACATTCTTTGTGTAAGTAGTTGTATCTGTAGCAGTGACACCTGTGCTGCAGTGCAATGTGAACCAGTCAGAATTGCCCTGAGGAAGGTGACAGACGGTCACCGAAACGCCAGCTGAATAAAAGACTTGGTTGTGTAAAAAAGAGTCTCTTTACTCTGTATCTCTTCTACTTTGAGAACTAAAATTATTACATGTAAAACATATCTTGTACAGCCAAAAATTGAATGAACATAAACATGGTAGTTAATTTTCTGAAGCATTGCTGTTGTACAATGCACCTAATTTTCATCTTCATCTGCAAATTGAATGCGTCCATTCACTGATATTCTTGTTGTCACCGACATATTTTCATATTTCATATTTTCTGATGTGTTTTCATATTATGATATGCCACATATATGTAAGAAGTTTGCTAGGATAACAAGAAAAAAGTTCCCTCTCAAACCTTGCAATGAGATTCCAATTCCAATTTCTCCTCTGGTCTCTCAGTCACTGACGAAGCTAGTGGATACTAGCTGAAACATCTGACGTTTCCAAAATCATATCCAGTATCTTGAGTAACTGCTTTTTGGCATATCTTATTACCTGGATATCTAATCTTCATCGACGTATTTCAATCAGAGCCTTATGAAACTATCTTTTTTATCCCCAGGATCCTGACTTTGAGGAAAATGAGTACCTATATGATGATTTTGATATGGAAGAAATGGGTAGGTATAACCATGGACTAGAAGACCCTGGTAGGTATATTGTGGGGTTGTGTGGATAGCCATGTGGATAGTCGTGGGTGTTACTTGTGTGCAGTGCAAGCAGCAGCGGTTCTCAGTAGGCATACATGTAGCTGGGCTGCATGGGTAGATACATGTACTTGTATGCAGCTGGTAGGGACAGGGTGCTATACAGTACATGTGTTATAATGTATGGTAGTGTGTTGGTAGAATGTACTGCGCCTGTGTGCAACCTGTAATGTATTGTGCATAGCACTTCGGCAGAACTTCTCATATAAGGTCATATTAAATGTGTATGTAAGGTTAACATCCTGTCTGTAGTTTCTAAATGTTGTGTTGGTCTGCAACTGACAAAATTCTGATGCAACGTTCACCAAACATCCAACGGAAACCGTGTAAAATGCAGGTTTTGCACAGGCGCATGACATGCTGCCAATGTACCATGCCTGCGCAAAACCCGCATTTTTCTGTTTTCATCAGATTTTTGGGCATTGTAGATGATATCTTTTTTGACACAACATTTTAAAACTATGGAGGAGATATCACCTTGGATACGCAAACACAACCTTAAAAGATATTAAACATTCTGCCAAAGTGCTGTGTAAAATACATCACAGGTTTTGCTCAGGTGCAGTACATTCTGCTGACAAGCTATATACGGGGGAGAAGCTGTGTTGGCCAGTAGTCAATTGCAAGCTGCTTTGTTTCGACCACAAAAAGCACAAGCTCACAGCACACTGTTTTTAGAAAGGCGATGTTTCACTAAGACATGCATGAATTTGCTGTGTTACCAACACACCACACCAGTGTGAACTCTCACTTCAGTTTAGTCTACAATTTTTTCTTTGAATATTAAGCAGAAATGGGCTACAAAAATATGTTTATTTTTAGGTTTATGCTTTGATAACCTTGCCGCTTATGGCAGACTAATTTTAAAGTTTTTCGCAACCTTCTTCTAAAATTAGAAAAAAAATTGCTGCTTTGATCAGTCTGCATGGTGAAATAGCTTACATTACAGGTAGAAACCTCTGGGCTATATAAGAACATAGCAGCTGCACACCTAGTTCTTAAAAGTAGCTTTGAAATTTTGTAAGTCGATGCCAAGCTTACCTGGTATTGTCTTCAAATGTCTACAGTCAAAACTGTACTTATTTTCTTTCTGTCATTATGGAACAGAGAGTATGTAGAGTATCTGTATCTGTATAGCCGGTATAACCGCCTTTCGGCGTAACACACCAGCAGAGTAGGTTGTTGAAACAAATAAATGAGTTATGAAGAAATCTTACGATCGTGCATTTTGGGGTTCAAATGATTTGCTTAGTATTCATATCCTTGTGTTCTTCGAAGTTAATTTTTGTCTTGCATGGAATTTATTCATTTTCCCCACATTTTTACAAAGAAACAACAGACGAGCGGAGACCTTAACTCTCGCCCTGTTGATGTTTGTTTCCTCACAGAGAAGAACCTAGGCACAATCATCGCGACGTCGCCGTCGGAGATCGGTCTCATGTCGGACGAGGTTTTCGACAAGGAAAAGGCGAACGCAGAGCAGGTCAGTATTACAATGAAACACACGATGAACTAGCACATCCCTAGTAAGATAACATCAAGCAGATACAACTTGCCTTGGTTCAACAGAAACCTAAGGAGGCACTGTCGTAAGAAGCAGCACCTCTATTTTGAGCATCTGTAAAGGAAAGACTTAGTAGCTGCTAGATGTTCTTGGCTTTTGCAGTTCACAATTATTCCTTGTAGCAGATCTTGTGTTGGTTAGATACTAGCTGTACATGTAGTTTACTGTAAAGTGTTGTCGGTTGCTTATAGAAAAGCAACTTGTGAAAGGTATCTGATAGACACCAAAACATAAGCAAGGTAAATTTCTTGGTTGTGTAAAAGTAAACTCCTGTATCCTGAAAAAAAGTATTTTTGCCACTTTAGGCGGTGGAGCTGTCCAACTCGAGTTCCCCAACGCCCAACAGTCCCAGCACCAACCATTCCAAGGAGAAGGACGACAAGAAGGAGAGAAGCAAGTCTACGGACGAGGTAAGGTCTCTGGTAGGAATGGCAGGTCAGAAATGTATTTGCAACTTTCTACAACAAGCAGGTCTTGCCATTTGTTTTTATGTTTACTGAAGGAAAACTGTTTTTGCTCTGTTTCTTCTTCCGTTCTAAACACTGACCTGGTCAATGACCTGAACCAGACCGTCTGTCACCATGGTAACTGGTGTTGGGTTACATAATGTTGCAATTTTATAGTAGGAGGGACTTAGACTCCTGTCAAGAAGTATTTGAATGTGTTTGAGTAAGAGTTAAAAGAGCAGACCATATTCGAAGGTAAACGTTATGCATTTCCTTTGCAAATGTTAAGTTTCTAGTTGAGTTATGTTTTTTATTTTTCCCTCCCTCAGCCGGTGAAACCTGTAGCTACAAGATCATCCTCGTTGCCAAGTTCCTCTTCAACAACAACAACTGCAAACGGCAGCAAGACTCCCAGCAAATCTGCAAGGTGGGCTTTCTGCTCTGTCGACTGTAGTAGTAGTAGCAGTAGTAGTAGCAGTACTGTAGTAGTAGCAGTTCTGTAGTAGTAGTAGTAGTAGTAGAAGTAGTAGTAGCAGACGTAGTAGGCTCTCAAGAAATCTGCAAGGTGGGGGTTTCTGCTCTGTCAGTCCACTAACAGCACATAGTAGTAGTTGTAGTAGTAGTTGTAGTAGTAGTTGTAGTAGTAGTAGTTATTCCTAGTCTTTGATCTTGTATTTGAAATTACAGCTAAAAAAAGTCATTGCCAAGCAAGGCTGCCTGTCGATTTATTTGTTCTCAGGTTTGCAGGAAAATAGTTGAGTGGGCAAGCAAAATAAAAGTGAACAATTGCCCCATGATGGACCCAAATGCAGTTACAGGAGCCTCAAAGTAAGCTGGATATAGCCGGTATAACTGCTCTTTGGCATAACACATCAGCCATAGACTTATTAATGTTTTAAACAAAACTTTTGCCTCCTGTTTGCAGCATTTCGTCCTCAGCAAGCAATCACATTGTAGCGACGCCCCCTGCTGGGCCGGCGTATGCTGCAGCTGCGGCAGGACAGACCAGTACAGGTGAGTCTTCTGCTGTTCAGGCTTCTGTTGTACATCCTGAAAGTACATGTACATGATGCTTCTCACATTCTAGCCTGGTCCGCTGTACTGCACATAGGTTTGCTTAGGCCTAGGAAATGTTGTGCTTCCCGTTTCAGTCCTGAAAAAATAAGGGTTGTTGTACCTCCTGAAAGTACATGTACAAGCTTCTCACATTCTAGTCTAGTCTGCTGTACTGCACATGGTTGCTTAAGCATGTCGGCAGAACGTACTGCAGAAACTTGCAATGTATTGGGCATAGCACTTCGGCAGAAATTCACTTATAAGGTTGTATTCGTGTATATAAGGTTAACATCCCGTCTGTAGTTTCTAAATGTTGTGTTGGAAAAGATATCCTCTGCAACAGGCAAAACTCTCATGATGCAATGGTGACCAAACATCCAACGAAAACCGTGAAAAATTAGGGTTTCGCGCAAGTGCAGTATTTTCTGCCGACGTGCACAGCAGCTACTACATGTACATGTAGGTGCAGAGCATACAAAGACTTTTTGTTTCCCTAATCTTGCCTTTTGATTGTAGTTGAAATTATTTTATGATAAAAGTGTTGTGAGCAGCACAGGTACTGTGCTTTTATTTTCAGGATTACAGTAAGTTATGTAGGGCAAGAGTACCTTAATACATGTAGCTGTAAGGATTATACAAATAATGGTACATTTTACCGGATAATGCTGTGTGTACAAGGTAAATCTAGTTTTGATTTTCGGCTGTGTTGCATGTGTGTGAAGACATGTCTCGCAAATTTGTTGTTTCTTGCCGTGTGTGTTGCACTGAAATTTTGTACGCGTATAAAGTGTATAAATGTAGTGTACACAAATGATTGTCATTGCTTGTGAGGTTCTGTGTTTGCCCAGAAAGCATGATTGTTCTCTTTTGCCATATTGAATACATGTAGGTGTCTATTGTACGTAAGCCATGGTTCTTTCTGTGTTCTGTTTTTGCACCAACTCCTGTAGCATGTTTTCTTCACGTCTGTCTGTCCTCTACTTCTCTGGTCACAACTGTAATGTTTTTCCTCTCTCGTGAAATTTCCACCGTAATGTTCTCTGTGCATGTGTTATTATCTTCTATGTATACCATCCACAAAATGTGTTCTTTGGCGTCAATGGTCAGATTTTGAAAGGCTGGGGTAAAATCTTGCGTTAGTATTCAAAGTATTCAAAATATCAAGAGACGTAATTTGGGAGATGCATGACTTTGTAAAACCTGAGTTTTGAGTGATGCATTGTTTTTGAAAACAGAAAAGGAGGATGCTGAAACTGTAGTCATCATTTTTTTTATCAGTCCTGCTTTTTTCCAAAGATACGGTATCGCCATAAGCGAAGCTTTCTGATAGTCAGTTAGTGAAAATATCTATCCCTAGCTAAAGCTATTTACGTCACGTATTCACAGCAGTGAAAATACTGCACATTCAAAGAAATTAGAATCCCTTTTATATCTCTAAGAGATAGACTGCTATCTGTAAAAATATCAATGTTTTTTATTTCGTACTGGTAGTGATACTAACAGGAAAGGACCAGATGTAGACCCCTTAAAATACCCACAACCCTCACCAACCCCTCTGTAGCTGTTCTGTAGTGGTTACTAGTAACTGTGTAGCCTCCACCAGGCCTTCTTACGGGGGTACAGATCCTAGAATTCGGTAAAAAAAGTAAAGGGAAACAGTTGGCTAGGAGAGTCAGTCCGCAAGAGGGTTAATGTGTGGGCAAATGAACTCTACGCTGGCTAAACTCCCCTAGTCATTTATTCCCCCTATTCCAAAAAGAACAGTTCCTCAAGCAACTGGATATGATTTTGGAAAGGGTCCAATCATTGAAATTATATCCAGTTGCTTGAGGAACTGTTTTTGGCGTTTCTTAACTACATGTACTACCTGGATGTCTGAACTTCACCAACATATTCTCCCTAAGGCTACACCAATTTAATTTCTTGGTTAACGGATTCGCCCGCTTCATATTTTTCTGATTTGCAAATAAAAATAAAAATTCAGAATCAACTGCAAAATGCTCATATTTTGCCCTGAACAGTTGAAAACAGTCCTTTTCATCCCAGTTGTTACAGTTATTCCATCTTTCAATGCAATTGTATCATTAAAAGTTCAAAATTCATTGTTTAAATTTTGAACCAGCCTGGTGTGTTGACTTCATGGCTCCTATCGTACCATTTCGGCCATAATAGGATACCCAAGCCTGTTTTTATTTTTATTTATTTTTCGCCCGCCCGCTCCATTATTTTTCTAGAAAAATCCGTTAACCAAGATATTAAATTGGTGTGGCCTAATGGCAAAATTTGCCTTTTTTTGAACCCTCGTTGTTAGTCTGGTGGAAACTTAATAAGTAACTGTGCATAGTATTACATATTTTGTGGTGCGTGTACCTAGAAGACTGACCTATGGTGTTTTCTCTGTGTTTGTCTCTCTGTGTGTTTGTGTGTCCGTCCGTCTGCCGCGTGTACTGTAGGGAGCAGTAGTCAGTTCCCCCATCCCCCCTCCCCCCTCTGGTTCTGCCTACGCTGCTGCCGCCGCCGCCACCCCCACACACAGTAGTGCCGCCTCTCTCATCTCAGGTACTGCACACGCTATACCTCCTTCTCTTCTCTAGCCTCCGTAGCAGGCTTATAGAACTGGGGGTTTGGTGGTCTTCGGCTGTTTTCTGATTAGCCTCCGTAGCAGGCTTATAGAACTGGGGGTTTGGTGGTCTTCGGCTGTTTTCTGATTAGCCCAGTTCTAAAAAGTGATCTCGAACCAGTTTAGCTCATTGACAGACGCTATATACAGTATTCACAGGTTCATTGTACCAGGGAATTTTTTTTTTAAAATGGGGGTAATTCAACCAGGCCGGCTATGTTGTCTATATGCAATCAGAAAATAGCACATAAAAGCTCCCAAAGACCCTGAAGACCCCCAAAACCCCCAGTTTTTGGAATGCTATGTAGGCTTTCTCTTCTCTATCTTCTTGTCGTTGCAACTAGTTCTCAGATCTGGGGTTTGTGAAACAATCACACACATGTGCAATATCTTTTACTGCAGTCCAGTTTCTTACTTACTGTAAGCCTTAAGCAATACATTGTCCATGATTATTATTTGTCCAACCTGAAATTACTTTTCTTTGTTAACATTGTTAATCAAACTCTACTACTGACTACTAACTTAGGGTTAACTGTAAATATTAATATTATGTTTTACTTTGTTCGGAAAATTTTGATCTCCATCAGTAAATATAGATTAAACTCTTCCAATACTTAACTATAATCTATATTTAACAGAATTACTTTCACTCCTTTATACTCCTAGCATTAGAATAGAATGTTAATCTGCTAACTGACAATATTGAATTGTCATACATGTCAGACCTGAGTGTCCAGTATTTTCAACAAATTTACTGTCCAGCATTTGTATCCCTCCTTGCAACACACCCCCTTTCTCAACATGGTTCCATCCAACTATCTGGCTTGAACCAGTACAATGCAGGGTGGTACCATTGTAGAAACAGGGGTGCTATAGACACTATTGTGTAATGTTGAAGGCACTTCTTGCTTGTTAACAGATCAGGGGTAGAAATACTGCCTGCATTTTTATGCAGTTTACTGCAGGTAAAATTAGATTTTACAAAATTATAACAGCACATAGTAAGTTAAAAATGCTTTAAAATGCGTTAAAAACCTTTTTTGTGAATTGAAATTGGCATAAGAAACTGGAGTGGCAGTAAAACCTGTCTGGTGCAGCTGATTTTGACTGTTGCCTGCACCAGTGCAGGTGTGCTGAATAACAGTATTTCTAGCCCTGCAGAACTGATGCATTGTCCACCTAGTGTTGTGTACCGGATTCAAGTCCAGAGGTTTATGTTCACAGTCTGAACCTAAATCCATGGCATATACAGAATACGGAAGGCAATTTTCCTTTATTTTGCAGCACAATGTTTCGACTATTGAAGATTTCAGGTGGTTTAGAATAAAAAGGGGAATGTGACATGACATTTTTTGTAAGTCTGGAAGTAGTTCCAGCGAACCGGTACACAGCACTCTGTCCACCCCCTCTACTGTCTGCACCCCCCTCCCCCCTGTAAACCCCAGTGTGTCCAACGTTGTGTTCCCTCTGCCGTCTCCTCTGTAGAGAACAGTAACCACGCGTCAGGCCCGGCATGGTCCGCAGTCACTGCACACCATAATGAGACATCACCATCAGGTAACCAGACAAAACTCACACACTAACTTTTTCTCTCCTTTTTTTTCCTTTCTCACATTCAAGGTATTTTGTTTCCTTTTCCAGGTGTTTTATCTTGTTTTGTGGCATTATAATATACATGTAGTTAACCAAACTACAAGCAAAACTGACACACACCCAAACTTTTCATTTGCTTTCTCTCCTTTTTTTCCTTTCTCACATTCAAGGTCTTTTGTTTCCCTTTCCAGGTGTTTTGCTCCGTTTTGTGGCATTGTTAACCATACTCCAACCAATTTAACTGACCCACCCCCAACTTTTCTTCTTTCTTCTCTTCAAGGTCTTTTGTCTCCTTTTCCAGGTTTTTCATTTCGTTTCGTGGCCACTAAGGTGTTGCCTGTTCTGAGTTTTACAGTCGTACTGGTTTCTACCATCTTGCACAGTGTTGAGCTATATTTTGTTGAAAGTTTGTCTCTTCTTCATTTCTGTTTTCAATACAACTCAGTTCCATGTGGAGTTTAAAATTAAAGTTGTTTTTTTATCCTTTTCCTGAAAGTCCTCTGGTGTGGCTTCTTGATGTTAGATGTTTTACCTATTGTGATGAAAACTAACACTCCTGACACAGTTATTTTCTGTTCACAGGCTCTTTTTTTGTGTAACAGCATTGTCTTTGTAATATTCATTGCCTCACATTCTTACAAGATTCCATCTTACAGATGGAAATTTTGACAACTTAATTGTACTGGTACAGTTTAGTGATTACTACTAGTAGGCATTCCTACAACCATCAGTGCTATTTTTAGGAACATATCTTGTTCAACCAATCTAAACTGACAGCACAAGCTGTTCCAAAGCAGCACAGTTGACAGGCACTTCTTACAAAGTGCCCCAAGAGCTACAGTGTGCACTTGACAATGTGTTATGTTCGCCATTTTACTTGTTTTAAAAATAAGAACCTGTCAAAAACACTGTAGCTCTGTCGACTGCAGGATGGCTTGTAGAATCATGATAATAATTATAGTAACTGGTTGTACATGAACAGTGTAGATATAAACTGCAATTGACAAGCAAGCTAAATCAGTCGCTGTAAAGTCTGATCCATCTTTGTTCCTTTGTCTGTAGAAATATCTTAAGAGACAAAACATCACATATATTAGTCTTAAAACGTACCCAGAGAGAGCTCCTACACCTTTCCAGTGTTGCAGCTCTGTATGCGTGTGTTATTTCTTTGTCAGTATGCAGTGAGATCCTGCACCTTTCCAGTGCATTTCTAACCTGTTTATGTCCTGTTTAGGTACAGCACAGCAGCCTAGGCCACCCGTCACACCGCCAACAGCCATCTCCAAACCGCAGCAGAGAATAACAGATGGGCAGCTATCAGGTAAGAAAACAAACTTCAGACTCAGTTCAGTTTTCTTTTTTCAAATACCTTTATGCTCTTACAAGCTAAGCACAGGTCATGGCAATAAAGTAGTAAGCAGCAGAGAATACCAGATGGGCATCAGGTACTATAACAGGATTCAGTTTTCTTTCTGCTTTTTCTTATCAGACTGAAATACCTCAAATTTTTTATTGTACATTTATGCTCTTACAAGCTAAGTACAGGTTATGGTGATAAAGCAGTAGTAGTACAATTACTGTCACAGTGTGGTATCTTACATATAAAATGGCTGATGTATAAACAGGTTCAACTTCTTGCTTCTTATTGTCCACTCGTAATCTGGTGAGGAATTTGTTTGGTTTCTGGCATAGTTGTTGACTTTTGGTGATGCACATTAGTAATACTATACTGTATGTTCATTGGCGATGTGCCTTCTTATGAAGGAAGTTTAAAAGGTCTAAACCTTCTTGTTCTAACTGTCCCATCCGTTAGAGCAAGGGTGGGACAGTTATTAGAGTTTTTTTTTTTTGCGCAGTAAAGTCATAGTCTATGAGACTGACTGACAGTAGTAGCTCTTGTTACGTACTGACTAAAAATTTGATAAACATGCAGCATTAAAATTTATCTGTAACGGTCTTATTTTTGTTGTTGTAACCCCAGAAGCGACAGCAAACAGCTTGAACCACACTGTGGGCTCTGTCCCGAGTAGTGTTGCCCCGACGCCACCCGTCAACTCTGCGCCTGGTCCCATCGTCAGCCAAACGCCCACACCGATGACCATTGCTGCTAACAGTGTTACCTCAACGTACGTACAGTTATAAGTTTTTGGCGTGTGTGTGTGTGTGTGTCTGTATGTGTGTGTGTGTGTGTGTGTGTCTGGTCCCATCGTCAGCCAAACGCCCACACCGATGACCATTGCTGCTAACAGTGTTACCTCAACGTACGTTACAGTTATAAGTTTTTGGCGTGTGTGTGTGTGTGTGTGTGTGTGTCTGTGTGTGTGTGTGTGTGTGTGTGTCTGGTCCCATCGTCAGCCAAACACCCACACCGATGACCATTGCTGCTAACAGTGTTACCTCAACGTACGTTACAATCAAATATTTTTCACTATCGAAAAACGGATAATGTCACAGTAAAGACTTTATTGCAGCTGTACACATACATTTGTAGTCCTAGTTTTCATTTACGTCGGTCCAGTGTTTCTTAGAGCTTCAGTCCTTGCTTTCTTTACTTTGATATAATGGAACTCGGATAGAACTTACATGTTAAAGATCGGATAGAACGCATGTTAAAGAACCCACCACACTTACCGAAAAGAGTAGGGGACCTCCTAGTGTGAGTTGTTCAAACGTTTTTTACAGTCCTATTGCTGCACGTGGGGTTGTATTGAGGTCACCTGAGTTAGCGCCGAATGGCAGCCACTCCAGACCCTTGCGATTTAGCCCCAATAGTTTGTAAGCTCCTCACAATTCAACTCTTAGCTGCGAAGAGAGAGTAGCCAGCCTACCCAATACAAATACGATAAATACTAAGTCTTAACATTGCCTGTTTTGTCCTCCAGCAAAGACCTTGCATTGCTAGGGCTGGCCAACATGTCGTCAGCTGCCAGCATGTCTGCTCCCTCCTCCCAACATACCTCTAACTCAATAGAACCATTCCCAGAACTACCAATAGGAGCTCAGGATTGTCTGTCACGATTGGACCCAATGAAATATTTTTTGCTCTTTCTGCCCCAACAAATCACTTAGAAATGTAATCTCAGGAGAGTTACACTTACAGACACAAGACTTTATAATCCTAATGTGTTGGAATAGAGTTCAACAACATTTACCATGATTACTACCAACGCAGATGAACTTTCATAATAAATATTTTTTTCAAATTTTTGTTTTCTCGTGCAGCAAAGACCTTGCATCGCTAGGGCTGGCCAACATGTCGTCAGCTGCCACCACGTCGGCCACCATGTCTGCTCCATCCACACCCGGCAAGTCTGAGCCCCTCATGAACGGGCCATCATCGCTCAACGCTGCCGAGTACAAGGTGAACTCACCCAGAACCAGAAAACTCTATCCTCACGGGCCATTTGCACAGATTGAAAACACGTGAAATCGGACTTGCAAATTGTTCTATCATCATCCTCACCAAAAACTCTCTCAATCCTCACGTTTTTCACAGATTTTTCATCGCTGTTTCTCAAAAAAAAAAACAGACTTTGTTTTTTCCTGTGAATGTGAATATCAGAATACTAATTGTTTTGTCATGAACACAGACCCAGAAAAGTCTCCCAATCCTAAAACCAACCTCTTTTGAAGAACAGTTCAGATCAGAAGTGCAAATTTATCTTTCAATCTTTTCCATTCTGAATGAACGAATCCTTTTCGATATCTTTGTAGATCATCATGTTACAAATCTCAAAGCAGATCTCTCATTTGATTACCTTTCTTGCATTGTGAATGAATGGCATCAAATAAATTCTTCTCCTGCATACACGTAATATTTCCCGCACAACGCAAATAATCAAGTCTATTTCTGATGATTTCATGATTCTTTGGAGTCAAGTGTCTGTTTAAAAGTAGGAAATTTGCTGCTGATCTGCAAACTTTCATCCAAATGTTGGCATGAAGGTATAGAAGAAAGTATAATGGTGTAGTTTCAAAGAGAAAGAAACTGCTTTTTTTCCTGTCAGACACTTTTCTTGTAGAAGGAAAAAAATTTAAATTTTTGTATAAAGAAAAACATCAAAATTGTCTGCCAAAATGAAATCAACTTGTGCTGCTGGTGTTCTTTAGCCTGGGTAAGGGCCTCTTGTGCAGTCACTTTTCACGCCCACCTTGCCTACACACCAATCTAAAGTTCTAGACTACCAAAAAACATTTTCCACTACAAGGCTACTTTGCTAATAGAATTCACTTCAAAGTACTCTGTACATTATTCCTAAAAATTTGCCAAATATTTCTGGCAGGTAGAAGCTTGTTGTATCCTTCCTTCTACCTGATCCTTTCTGCACACCTTAGTTCCTGATTTGGGCTGAGAGAATTCAAAAGCTGTTCACCAGGCTATAGGAACTCCAATTCTACCTTAAGAGCACGTCAGCAGAACGTACTGCGCCTGCGCGAAACGCTGAGTTTTCACGGTCTTTGTTGGATGTTTGGTCAACCTTACATCAGAATTTTGCCTGTTGCAGACGACATCTTTTCCGACACAACATTTGGAATCTACAGACAGGATGTTAACCTTATATTTGAGAACAGGACCTTATACAATGTATGAGACGTTCTGCCGAAGTGCTATGCACAATCCATTACGGGTTTCGCGCAGGTGCAGTACATTCTGCCGACGTGCTCACTCTACCTGAAGTGCCTTATTTGACCACCCTACTTACTGTCTTTCTGTTTTTTTGCACCTACAGTAGATGGCTATGCTCAGCTGCTCCTCCTGCCTGCAGTACAGTACTGTACATAACCCTTCCTGTATCTTTCAGTTTTCACAGATAACCACCAATTTGCTGTTCCTTTTCGGACAGGACCAGCAGTCTTCAGAATCGCTGACGTCGTTGAAAAGCATGGCGGAGAAGGCGGTGGTAAACGCAGGGTTGGAGGAGCACTTACAGACACAGCAGTTCAGTACTGACGACACAGGAGGTGGGGCTTCAGACTGACTCTCGATCCGTTGGCTGGCGTAACACAACCAGCATTCACCACAATCAGTATAGTTGGCCTCTCCCCAAGCAATGAAGGGTGCTCCCTTTCTCCCCAAAATCCTAGTACCTCTCCCTAAAAATGTTCAAATCTAAGGGTTTTCTCCAAGACTTTTTAAAAAGTATTTCCACAAAAGTTTGCTTATTTTTCATCAACCGATTATGGATCATTTTTCCCCTAAGAATTTCTGGGGAGACCCCAGCCACTGGTCCAGTTGTCTTTTGGCCTTGCATTGAGCAAACTAATGCTAAAAAAAAGAGGAGCACTTACAGACACAGCAGTTCAGTACTGACGACACAGGAGGTTCGTGGGATCAATCGATCGACCAACGTAACACAACTGAAGTTCACCACTGTTTCCTAGCATAGTTACCCACTCGCTATCACTACTCACTCACTATCCAGTTATCGTCTGTTGCTCCCGGTCTTCCAAGGGTTACACAGGCTTCTTGCACGGGAAAACTGAAGCTTGATGGCAGCCTGCCACTTGCCTCTATCCTTTAGGTTGATACCCATTGTTACTCATACTTACCACAAACTTAGTTCAGTGGTCTTTTGGCCTTGCATCAAGCAAACTAATGTTTAAAAAAAAAAAGAGGAGCACTTACAGACACAGCAGTTCAGTACTGACGACACAGGAGGTTCGTACGTGGGACTTCAGAGTGATTCTCGATTGACCGATCGACTGACGTGACACAACTGACATTCACCACAATCAGTATAGTAGCCTGTCCATACCACCAACTTAGTTCAGTTGTCTTCTGGCCTTGCATTGAGCAAACTGTAGGCCATGTTTCGTGTAACACAACCAACAGTTGACAGACTTTTCTCACAAGTGATGTTTGCTCTCCGTTTTTGGACTGACTTCAGTTGGTAGATAATAAAAATCAAGCATGGAAAGGTTACCTGAAATATCACATGCACCACAAGGTGTCAACAAAATGCCTTTTTCCTCCAATGTTCTACAAAGCTCAAGTACTGTTAACCTTTGTGTCCTGAAACCCTGACATTATTCTACATTTACCTTACTTGATAGTATTTTTAAATGTGACCAGAAATAGCTGAAGACTGTGCCCCCTACTGGGGCTAGTTTCGTTTAAAGTAGGTACCAAAGAAAACGGTTCGAAATGGAGTTTACCCTAGGATTTAGAGAAGCGAATCAAGTGTAAGAGCACCAAAACTTCAGATCTACAAACCCACTGGTTGTTGAATGAAGATACTTCTGACTAATAAAGTTTCTTGCCAGCCCCCCCCCCCCATCAGAAGTAGAACATGTAGCTAGAACTTTGCAATTGCTGTAAACCAATGATTAGCCAGGAGTTAGTGTTATTGTAATGTCACAACCCAGGCTATTGTTTACGTTACCACATAATAGACTAATGAGTAAAGAGACTTTTTTTACACAACCAAGTCTTTTATTTAGACGACGTTTCGGTGACCGTCTGTCACCTTCATCAGGGCAATTCTGACTGGTTCACCAGTTCCAACGGTTGCCCTGAGGAAGGTGACAGATGGTCACCAAAACTTCTGCTCAATAAAAAGACTTGGTTGTGTAAAAAGTCTCTTTACTCAGTGTCTTACCAACCTGATGAAACTATAATTCACAGATCCCCATACTAATATTTCGTGTTTCTTTTTCCAGCCTTCAGCAGCGGTAGTGCAGTACCCACAACACCAACCCTCTCAGACTCTGGCAGGCTAGCGAAAAGTAAGTCAGCAAACATGATGCAAACTTTAAAGCCATGCCAGCTTAATCTGTTGGTTCTTGGACATATTTGTGTTTACCGGGAACTGTATCTACAATGCTGTATCTGTATCTAGTATCTATTGTTTAATAACTGACCACAGTTTTGTGTATATCCAACAGTATGTTTGGGACCGCATTGTAGATGCATTTCCCTGTAACCACGCATATGTGTAGATATGTAAACATTGTATGTTTGGGAATGCACCTGTAGCAGCGACACCTGTGCTGCAGTGCAATGTGAACCAGTCAGAATTGCCCTGAGGAAGGTGACAGACGGTCACCAAAACGTCGGCTGAATAAACGACTCGGTTGTGTAAAAAGAGTCTCTTTACTCTGTGACTTACCAACCCGATGAAACTACATGTATTGAGGGATTATTTGTGCTTGTATTTGAACCCTGTAAGACTAGCCCTAAGGCTACATTTTTTGCAAATGGTACCAGAATAAAGCGCTGAATCTCTTCCTCTCTCTCCCCCAGTCTCATCCCTGTTCAGCAGCACAACGACAACAACGACAGACTCGCAGGCCAGCGTCGTGCCGCCGCCCACCACAGAAGCCCACCTTCAGCCCATCCTGGGTGTGGCGCCTCTCGGCCCCGTGCCACTCAGTAAGGACAACGTGTACGGCCTGGGCATGCTAGAGGCCTCCTACCACCACATGCCTCACCCGTCCGACTCCGAGAAGCTAAGGTAACTACTGCACTTCTGACTTACGGTCGCACGTTCGTGCACGGAACAGTGTTGGTGTGATCTACATGTGTACAAGCTCGGGAAACCGAAAGAAAGGTTCCAGAGCCAAAAATAGAAGGCAGGTTTCACAGCCAAAAATGTTTCCTAGCCAAAAACAAAACAAAGGTTTCAGAGCCAAAAACAAAAGGAAAGTTTCACAGTCAAAAACAAAAAAGTTTTCACGGCCAAGAACAAAAGAAAGGTTTCACATCCAAAAACAGTCATGACTTTTTGACTGGGTGTTTGCAATGTTTGGTTTTGACAGCTGAGAAAACAAAACTCGTGTCTTGTTCTAGTTCCCAGAATTAACATGAACAAGAACTTTACCTTCTTGATAGACTGAAATCTTTCTAAACAAGAAGTCAGATGTTGGCAGCAACTTCACATCCAAAATTCCTTTTTCAAAACTTGTAGATATCTGATTGAGCAAGCAAACCAGAGCTATGAAATTTTGAATACAAAATGTAACTTCATCACATCCAACACTGGCAAAGATTACAGTTCCAAAGGCATGTTGGGTGTTGTGTGGTCATCATTACTGTACTGTTGTAGTTGTTGTTTTACCTGCCTTGTTGTCAGTGGTGATGCCGGAGCGTCCCCCGTTTGTGCACTACCTTTTTTTTTCCTTGTGTGTGGGCCTGAGACTTTATTTTTAGTTGGCTGTGGTCGGGGCTGGCTCCTGTACGTGGTGTGTGATTGGCTCTCCCGACCGTACGCGCCCCCCCACTCTTGTGACCATGCAACGTCTCTCGTGGTGGAGTGTCCTATCCTTGCATGCAGGCCGAGCAGACTGCATGTGGTACCTCCTCCTAAAGCCGGTGTTGTACATAAACTGTTCTCTAGAGGAGCACCTACCTGTATGTTATAAAGGGAGTACTTTTTAGATTGTTTTTATTTTTTTTTATTTTTTAAGTTCTAGCGTACACTGCATCACTCAGCATGACTTTGATGTATAATTGATGTTGAGGTGTAATGCACTCAAGACTACAGTCTCTGGCTCAAAGTTTCTCTCGTCTCAAAGGCATCACGGTTCCTCAAGATCAGAAAAAAGAAAGTGGGGGCCCATATCAACTCAGAATGTTATTTAGAGTGAAAACTTTTGGTCCAACACAAATTAGTTCTCTCACCTAGAGCTTTCGACCAGTCACTCTGGTCTTCCTCAGTAGACTGACCCAGTGAGGCTTGTCACGTGGCTTCTTTGAAGTGTGACGTCAACACTGGGTCAAACATGTAACTACCAACACAGATGAACTTTCATGATAACTCAGAATGATCACTGTCTTTGCAAAGACAGGATTTGACTGAAGCTGTATTTGGGAATAACGCAAAGAAATTGCTTCAGTGCTTTATATGTTTAGTCGAGCAAACTTTGTTCGTTAAAATTCTGTGTGTTCATTTCTGTTCAATGAAGAAAATCTTACAAAAGTACGAAAAATTTCTTCTGCTACTTTAAAAAAAATTTCTACTTCCCTTGGGGCCAAAATCAGATTTGTTCAACCATTAATTTATGATAGGAATATGATGCAAGATATAAAAACAGGATTTAAAAGACAGCATAAAAAATGAAATTTGTTCATTGAAATGTCCAATGTTTGGTTACTCAGTATTGGCAGAAAAAGGGGGTGTAGCTTGTAAGGACAGCTGAGTTGGTGACATACAATGCAGGACCCTACGGACTATGAACATGTTGATGCCAGTTGAGACAGAGCACTCTGAACCAGACTGTAGCGAAGCATACACATCCATGTGCATGTGTGAAGCACACATACTACTATGTGCATGTGTATGTAGTTCTTGCACATGCCACTACTACAACTTTTCGTGTTTTCTTTCTTATTCCTTTCCACGCTGTTGTGGCGAGTTGTTAAATCCCAACAACGACACTACAACACTTACCTACCCTCCCAATCATTATCAATGAAAACAACAACTGAACTTCCACCTGATGTGTAGCTTCACAACATGTACTCTCATTGTTCAACAGAAAGTCAAGAGGATTATTGGTCTCTGTTGTTTCCAGACAATACCTGCCCAGAAACCCGTGCCCCACACCGCCTTACTACCCCCAGCACCCGCTGCCTCACTCGGACAGCCTGGAGTTCTTCACCAGACTATCCACAGAAACTCTCTTCTTTATTTTCTACTACTTAGAGGTGAGTTGTTAGGTAGTATACTAGCTGTAGTAGTATTAGTTGTAGTAGTAGTAGTAGTAGTAGTAGTAGTAGCAGTAGTTACTGTAGCTGTGGTGGTAGTAGTAGACTCTCCACAGAAACTATCTTTATTTTCTACAACTTAGAGGTGAGTTGGTGGCTAGTAGTAGTAGTAGCTGTAGCAGAAGCCTTAGTAGTAGTAGTAGTACTGAAGTAGTAGTAAAAGTAGTAGTAATAGTAATAGTAGTAGCAGTAGCAGTAGCAGTAGTTGTAGCAGCAGAAGTAGTAGTAGTACTGATAGTAATAGTAATAGTAGAAGAAGCAGCAGTAGCAGTAACAGGAGTAGTACTAGATATATTTAATCTTCAATTTGTTGACTTGCAAGGGGGCATTTTTGACTGTATTTGGATAACTGCTCTGTCCATACTCTGATCTTATTTTTGTAAAATAAATTTCTGTTGTTGCGTCTGAAGTAAAGAAAATGTCTCCTTGTGTTTCAGGGTACGAAGGCTCAGTACCTAGCAGCTAAGGCGTTGAAGAAGCAATCGTGGAGGTTCCACACCAAGTACATGATGTGGTTCCAGAGGCACGAGGAGCCCAAAACAATCACGGATGAGTATGAACAGGTGGGGAGGATACAGGGCAAATACAGGAGTAGTTTTTACAAATAACAACAAACAAAACAAAACATAAACAATCACGGATGAGTATGAACAGGTGGGGAGGGAAAAAACACAGTAGTTTTTTACAGAAAAAAAACACAGTAGTTTTTACAAGTACATGTTACATAACAACAACAAAACAAGAAAAAAAAATGGGGTGGGGTAATGATGATGATCAATGGTTTATTCGTATATAAATCACTTGCAGCCCGGAGGCTATATTCAGTGCAATACAGTCTTACTCAAAACTTGTTCTGAAATAAAACATAAACATTTGGTATCATCATATTACAATAAGAGGTGGTAATAAACACATACATGTACATTCCTAAGATCCCAAGTTAACTACTTTAAAACTATAAAAGCTTGGTATATACATAATACCATCACAGAAAAACTTCAAGACAAATCATCGTGGTGGGACAACTGTTACCAAGAATACAAGAGAAACACAGCACACTTACAAAAAACAATCTCAGATGAGTATGAACAGGTGGGGAGAAAAAGAGGCTGAACACTCGGGGCTTTGCTGTTATCCCTAACCATCATCGTATGTCTGTGTAACACTTTGTATGGATTGCTATAGTTTCATGCATGCATGTATGTAATGTCCCACGTGGATGCCTAATAGACTGACCCAGTAGCCCCACCCTTCTCCATTTAAATGTAGAAATGCGAACTAAAAGCATTTTAAAATTTGACGGCCATTCAGCCACTCCCTCATTGCACCACTAATTGCCATCATGGTCATCATTTATTTATTTATTTAATTCAGACCCCTAGCCAATATGCATACAAGAACAGATTAACAGGAGATTGAAACATGGCAACAAACACAAAGAAAATCAAACAGTACCTTTTATACCTGGTAAGCTAACCTGTGTTGTCTGTACTCCCGTTTCCCAGGGCACGTACATCTATTTTGACTACGAGAAGTGGGGCCAACGGAAGAAGGAGGGGTTCACCTTTGAGTACCGGTACTTGGAGGACAGGGACTTGCAATGATGGCTGGCGTTTTGGTCTCGCTGGCACGGACTCTCACTTAACTCTCATCTGTCGTGTGCTACGACTTGTTTACTACTACGGTGTGCAGAGAGAAACACCACACGATCATTGTACACATCTGTTTTCTAGATTTTCAAGGCCCTGAGAGTTTATGTACTGTACAAAATATGAGGTTGAATAATATTATTAGATAACAATTCTTCTTATGAAGATGAATAATTATGATGAAGAAGAAGAATGATGATTTTTCAGAAAAAGGAAAAACTTCTTAAAACTTGGACAGAGAGAGAGAGAGAGAAAAAACGACAGTTGTTTTGTTTTACTTGTACACATGACGAACTGCACATCTTATTTTTGTACAGCATGGACAGACAGACAGACAGATGTGCCAGTTACTAAGGTAACCGTTACCATGGTAACAACCTCCAGCTGTACGGATTGCTACTGAATGGATGATGACAATAAAACATGGTCCTTCCTGCTTATTGGTAGTCGACTCCGATACAGTCTCTCACAAATATGGTGTAATACTACATGTACATGTTATAGCCTAGTCAGTAGTGGCTTTGCATTTGGAGGTCTCAAGTTCCAACACTGGTCAGAAGGTACTAGTAATCTCAAAGCAGATCAGCCAACAGTGGCTAATGGATACTCCAATGGCCTATGGAAACTGCCTTGCCACCGTATGATCTGCTTGGAGATTAGGCAGATCATGAAAAGACGCATCACCAAACAGTAGGGGTACTAGTAATGGTTTATGACCTTTCAGCTATCAGTGAATTTAGATTTGCCTATTCCATAACAGGGCTGTGTATTATAGAAGTCGTCCCTACTCAAAATGCTAAGTAAACGACAATCATTGCACAGCTTTGGACATAGCGCCGTGCCCATGCAGTGCCGTTGTGTCGACCACTAGTTAAAAGCAGCACCTTGCGGTTTAGGTAGGAACTGCAGGGTCATGGCCAAGTAGTAACTGTAGGTTGCATGCCATGTCAAACTATGTTTAATTTTGCTATTTAGTTAAGAGAATTTGGCGTGTTATGATTAAGTCCAAAGGGAGCAGACGCGTTGATTCCTGTCAGGTAAAGCTGTTTGGCTTGGCTTACGACATTAGGGGTACGTCACGAGAAAGGTATTCACCTTCATTGAAGCGTGCATAATGTGCCAAACCCTTTATCATGGCCATTTCCTTGTCGGTGTCATGCTGAAAAAGTCACGTCACTTGAAAAACGATTTCCTGCGTAGTTTTCCTGATCATACCCACTCCAAGAAGATTTTAAAGTTTCGGCTTATTTTGGACGTTTTTCAGGGTAAAATTTATCCGGATTTTTGTACCAGTAGTTACTTTTTGTCAGTCAAACTGTGACGTATTGGAAGCTGCCCAGTGCTGAATACTGTCTTGCCAATGTCTAATATTTGCCAGTTGGATAAGGTGTTGTAGCCAAAAGATCTGCTTGGAGATTACACATCACTTGAGAAGTTACTCGCGACGACGATGTCGGCAGGAAAGTTGTGTGGGCTCTTAGCCGTCCTCCTGGTGGCCTGGTGCTGCGGATGTGCGGGCCAGCCGACGCTTAGCCCCGGCGTACCGGGCGCGTTCGACCTGCACGCGAAGTACGAGCAGACGGGCCGGTGTTCGTACGTGCTGGTGGTCCCGGGGGCCGGGGAGGGAACCTGTTCGGGAGCGCCCGACGGCCAGATCCGAGAGGTACGTGCATCTGTTATAGCCTAAGCCCTGAAGTTAAGTAAAACGAAGTATTCATCGTCTATATATATTGAAGTGACTATGATGATTGTTGAATACAGGTTGTTTCGCTACATTGTCGGTAGGCTAACTAACTAGCCTAGATGCCAGACTGTTTTGCCCACAGAACATTTTGGTGGCCCGACCCCGCTTACCCTGGCTACCAAACTAGTATCGGGCCTTAGCCCTTTTCCTTCGGTCCCGCCTATCTAAATTAACGCCATTTTGTCCGGCCCTAGAACTCCTGGGTTCAACTCCTCCGTGGCGGTAATTTAGACAGGCGGGGGAAGGGCTCTTGACCCCGCTAGAGTCTGGCACCCAGTAGTTTACCAAGGAGCTAACGAGTCGACTTCTGAAGTTCTGCCAAGTAGGGAAACGTACTGTTCGGGCATAGATGTAGCGAACTGACAATGTCGCCTTTTTTATCGGTTGATTTTAACCACGACTTGCTTCTGCTAAGCAGACCAGACACGTCGCGTCACCCCCACTCTTGTTGACTGCACTGTATTATAACGCGGGCCTGTCTAAGCTCTCTTTCCAATATTAGCAATACACGTGGCTGACGGCGTTACATGTAAAGTCATACGTAACCTACATAGACTAAGGACCATTTCACATTGTTTTCCTGGTGTCTACATGTAAATGTTCATCATGACCACAGCTACAAAAGTGGCGTAAAAGTAGAACATTAAAATGGTCTTCAGGAGCGTTCGCTTGAGTGGCAGTGAGTTATGACATGTAAACAAGTTGAGACTTGTCGGACAGGTATGGATGTTGCGTCGGTGAATGCGCAATGAGGCATGTCATTGCTACGTGCCAAATGGCACTGCCGGGGTGCAACCAGGCGGAATTGATCGAGTAAAGTAAGTCACGTACGTTGACACAACAGCACCAATTGCAACCTGTTGTTAAGCTAAAAAAAAAAGCAGTTAATTAATAGAATTAAGATCATTTGTATCATGAAAATTCCTGCTAACGATATCGTTTTTCTTTATGCCGGATCATACCAAAAAAAGGACACGAAATACATGTGTTTGTACATGTATCTGCAAATCTAATGGACTCGGACGTAAGATATCGCCTTCTATTTTTGCCGAAAGATGCGCGTGTGTCCTTTAGAATAGAAAATATCTGAAGAAAACACAGTGCGTACACCAATATACATGTGTATTTTTATTGACAGGACCTTGAGGCTCTAGACGCCAGATGTAGGAACACCAGTGCCGAGCTGACGGAGGTCAAAGTTCAGCTGTTACGCGAAACAGTTCGCAACAGAGAGTTGGAGAACACAGTACTGGTGCAGGTATTTTCTGGGTTTATACTATATACAGAAGAACTTTATTGCACGACAATTGTACAGGGTATATTGTATGGCAAATAGGTAACAATAAGTAGCAAAGTAAAATAGATAGGTATAGAATAAAACTTAACAACTTATATATAGGATGCGAAACCACGACACGTGCATATACAGGGAAGATGTCTTATGGCCGACTGGTCAGCGGAAATGAGACCGAGAGCTCGATTCCTTTTGTAAGACGTTGTGTCCTTGGGAGAGGCACTCCGCCCAGGATAGGCCCCGCCCTCGCCCATTGTGCCCTAAACACAGTGACCCAATGTCTCTGTCCTGAATTGAACTTGAAATACTATGGGACCTCTACCTTTTTTACTGTTTAAACATGCCAACATGCCGCTTCAGTGTAGTAAAAAAAATGTTATTTAACGTTTTCATAAAAGCTACCTTTCATGAAGTCTATTGGAAAAATCAGGCAATGGTTTTCCATTCTGTAGATGTTTTTCTCTGTATTGACTTACTGATTTGTGGTGTATTTTGTCCGTACAGGGTCAGAAATTGGAACAACTGGAGCGGCTGGTGCAGACTCTTGTGGACAACCAACAGTCTGTTGAAGGTAAGACATTTCCCTCCGACACAAAGTGCAATGTAAATTTTTAGTAGAAATAAAGATAATACATCTTTAGACTGCATTATAAATACACAGACATATTGTAGGTAGCTGTAGACTGTATAAGTGGTCGAGTGGGTGCGCAGCCACCAAGCTCACTTGTCAGCATGTATGATAAAATGCATATTTACAGATCTTTTCCCAAGCAGGGGTCAAATTGCAGTATGTACCTTTACAAACTCGACATAATGGCGCCCTATGTATTAGCTATATCAGCCGGCAGCTTTATACAACTGTGTTAATTCAGCAATCTAGATGAGTTAACCCTTTCGTTGGTTTCAACAATTACACTGTTTTACTAATGGAACATTGTCAGTGTCCTATGCATTTTGATGGCACCCCACTTATTAATTATAATTTATAACGTATAATTATAAAGTTATATTTTGTTGTTGTTTTATTACGTTTTACCAGCTCAGTGGACGGAGTGGGGACCGTGTAACGTGTCCTGTGACGGAGGGCTGCGCACGCGCTCACGTACGACGTGCTCGTCCCCAGGACAGTGTGCGGAGGAGACGGCATATCGCCACTGTGGCCTCCACCCCTGCCCGGGTACGTACAGTTTTATAGCCTCTACCAGGCTTCGGGAGGTGGTTGGAAAGAGTAGAAATCGGCCAAATAGTGATATAGCTCCCGGAAGCGGCAAACTGTTCTCTCCAGCAGACCTTGGCATGCTATCTCTCTATTTGGCCGATTTCTACTCTTTCCAGCCGCCTCCCGAAGCCTGGTACAGGCTAACACTCTGACACAAAAAATAAAGCATGCCACTTAATTGATGAGAATAAGATTAAAGGAAGAGAATAATGGAGGTAGAAAAAATAAAATGATAAAGGGTAAGATCAGGAAATTGCAATGTAATGAGGAAGAAAAACAGGAAAAGAAAAAAAACAGAAGGAAAGTAGAGAACAGCTTTGGAACCACTCTCACCATGATACAGCAAATATTTTCATACAGATTTCTCTTTTCTCCGGTCAACTTAACTTTGCATGGCCGAAGATCGTTCTGTAAGATATACAACCATAGTCTTTGCATTTCCTATATAATTATACAATTGCGTCTGGTCCTTTCCTCAGTTTTCAAAGCTTGCGGAAGCAACAACTATTGTTACGGGATCACGAGCTCCTTCACGCGATCGGAATGCCGGGACGGACTGTGCGTCTGTACAGCCGAGAACTACAATCTGTACACGTGCGAAGGTACAACCATTGGCTTTATAGCTTTTCGGCTGCAATGCAAAACAACGAGAAATATGATTTCAGCAGCACTCTTGTACATTCATAATATAGAAGTTGGTCACTTCTGTGTTGTAGTTCTCAATGATATGTTCTCAGTTCCTTTTGTATGTTTAACTTCATCTCTACAAGCAGCAAATATTACCATGGTCCATATGCATTATACTGAGACATTCCATTTCCAGTTGAAGTTGGGAACTGCACGATATTTCGCGGCACGGAATCTGTCGGGCTGGGGGTGGCCGCTCCAGGTACCTACCGCCTGGGACCGAGAAACAGCTGCGTCACGGACGATAACAGGGAACGAGAGGTCCACGTCATAGGTGAGCGGCACAGGGAGACTTTTTAGAACTTTTATAAACTTTTTTTGTATATATTTCCACAAGACGTGGTGACGACACACTTAATTTTTTTCAACTTATATTAATGCCGCCACCAACACAGGAGACAATACAATACTCATTTTCACCTGAGCGAAGTGAGGAAACGTTTGAGAAGGGCACTTTACGCGACTTTCCTCACTTCTCCCAGGCATAAAGTGTAACTGACTTCGGTTGGCGAGGTAAAAGGCGGTGGAAGGAGAGGGATGGCCTCCACCTTCCAATACCATGTCCTAAACACAGTGGACTGCCCCTATAGCATCAAAAGGGCTATGAAACTACTGTTACCCTTTACCATATCACGTTACAACACTGAGTAACCTACTCAGGTTCAATAAAGCTATCGCAAACAGTGTCACATGAGCCTCAACCTCTATTTTTTAAATTGTTAATATCGATTTGTGTCTTCAATGTATTTATGTCTTTTTAAATGTATTCACTGTTTTTCCATGTATGTGATTACTAGTATGTAATTTTAATGTTTGAGCCTTGGAAGACTTCCTCAGGAACCTACGGCAACGCGACCTACAACTCGTACCGGACCCCGGACCGACTCGTGCCCAAAGACTGGTTTAACGTAAAGCTGGTGCAGAGAGGTCCGCTCACCAAGCCGCTCGTACTGGTCATGGCGTCTTACTACCCCATGGCCTGGGCCCTCGATATACCGGAGGGCGTTACTAATATCGATACAGTTCACATGGTACGTTACAGGTTACATTTCTCGTTCGTTCGTTCGTTCATTCATTCATCCGATCATTCACTCACTCAGACTCTTTCCTTTCTTTATATCTCTATCTTGGGAGAGGCCCATAAAATAGAATATGTACAAATATAATGTACAATTACTTTCAGTCATTCTTTGCAATCCATCCAATGGTATTTCTGTTTTCAATCACAAATAGTTGTTGATTAAAACACAATGTTCATGGTTTTATTTCTGTGATATCATTCTCTATGTTGAATCTCCTTCTTTACTTCCTATGGCCATTTTCTCCGCTTGTGTTTTCTCTTCTTGTGTTCATCCTTGGCCTTTTTACGCCAAAAAACAGTTACTCAAGCAACTGGATATGATTTTGGAAACGGCCAGACGGCCTTTTTAGTGTAGTCCTATCAGAACTTGTGTAACGTGTTTAAACCCCCGTGAATTTTGCAGAGTGGACAGACGTCTCCCAGTTTCGCAGCGAACTCCCAAGTTTCCGCACCTTCCGGCGTCGTGTCCAGAACTGTCATCGACTGGATCCATTACGGCTACGGATACGACCACACAGGTACCTTATTAACAAGTAGAAAAACAATATCACCTTAGGCCACACTAATTTAACTTGTTGGTTCTCGGATTTTTTAAAGAAAAAATTGAAGCGACTGGATGAAAAAAAATAAAAATACTAGTAGTCTAGGCATCCTATTATAGCTCCAAATGCTACGATAGGAGCCATGAAGTCAACACAATGAATTTTGAACTTTTAACCAAACCACTGCATTGATAGATGGAAAAACTGAAACAACTAGGAAGTGCAACAACTGCATTACATATTGCAGTGGATCCGGAAATCTTACAAACCACACAAATATGTCCCCGTTAAAAGTTGATGTATCAAGCTTTTCAGTACGTATCAAGCTTGCATTTCAGCACCACTGTTTATTATTTTCTCCATATATAGGTGGTTCCACCGCCCTTTTTCTGAAGAAGGTCAATGAACTCTACGGCCCAGTGACGTCATTCACGGGCTACCAGCACTTCAAGTCCGTCATCTTGCAGGTTGGAGGGGATCCGCTAGAGGTCGTGGATGACCCAACTTCGTAGTCAAGGCATTACAAATGCCGTATGGAGGCCAGTACACATATCTGGTTAAACATACCATTTTTGGAAAGGTTGAATTTTTGCTTTTGAGTTATTTGTACCTTCCCGTTACTGTTATTTGTACGTTCCTCTTACAGTTATTAGAAAGTTCATTGCAAATACTTGCCCGAGGGCTAATTGCAGTTACAAACAACATAAGAAAGAAAATACAATGGTATGTGAGACCATATCTACGTCTAGCATTATACTATATTCTACAACATACATGGTACTAGTTTTACTGGGTTTGTACGTTCCTGTTACAGTTATTTGTACGCTCCTGTTTATTTTGTTGTAGTACGTGGTAGGTTCTGTGTGTCCTGAAAATTTCATCCTCTGCGACATTGGGAAGGCATCAGGGATACCTGAAAAGCAGATCAATGGATCTGAGGTATTTCCTGGTGAAATAAATAAACTTGAAACTTGAACTTGAAACTTGGCAGAAAATTCTGTCGTCAAGCAAATGCTTCTCGAGGCACTTTACCCAATACTTCAGCCCAATAAATCATATTAAAATGACATGTTAATGCAATTATGCATGGATAACTTAAAAGTCATATAACATTATCGTTATCATATAACATTATAAGTACATAAAACAATTTGTCTGTAGTTGTACATAAGGTAAGTATACATATATATGTATATAACAGGCGAATCGTTGGTTGGATGCAGAAATTTTTAAAAGCAATGACTACATCTACAAGAAAAATGCGGTTGGGTAACGGCGTATGAACCCCCACATTTCGGCGTGTCGTCATGGTGGTATAATAGGCAAGGCCGGTCGATAGAGACGCTGCCATCAAGTTCTCCTGCAGGAACCGCTGGTATGAATGGGTCTATAAACCGGCAGAATGGCAGGAATCCGTCTTGGGCTGGATAGAATTGTTGACCGTAGTTCATTGTGTGGTTCTAGTAGGAATCTAGCCTCTAGCTACAGCTTCGTGAGTGGCACTCCTTTTGCAGCCCAACTCCCCCGGCATGTTATCTGTCTATTTGGCCAATTTTTACTTTTTCCAGCCGCCTCATGAAAAATTGTAGCCTGGGTTCCATCCGATTTGTGCGTGACAACCCCGAAAAATCGTCGGGATTTTTCGGCATTGCCGTTACAAATCGGATGGAACCCAGGCTAGAAAAATGGTAGAGGCTAGTAAGAAGTGGGAATTTTGTGATTTAGCTATTGAGTCAGGAGTGCTTCAAGCTTTAATAGGAGAAAGCTTTTACGGTGAATTTTTGTCTTTATGCTCAATGCATAAAGCTTGCTGGGGTACACAACTTTAGACTTTGCATTTTTTTATAATGTGCTATAGTGAGCTATACCCACTTGATTGTACATACACTTGGTTAGAAAGAATTAAGCGGGCAATCAATGGCTCACAGCGCTGCCAAGTGTTCTCAATTACAATGAAGGAGATGTGCATCTATTAGTCATTTCTTATCATAAACCTGAGGACATGTACAAGTTTCAGGGACACGTTCAAGGCCAGAGCTCGGCGATGAGGATTAACCATCCGTTGAGAACTGCGATAACACAGCAGAAAACACAAAAAATCGATTTTTCAGATTGGATCCTTTGTGGGGATACCCTCCGTAGCAGGCTTATAGAATTGGGGGTTTGGTGGTCTTCGGCTGTTTTCTGATTAGCCTCCGTAGCAGGCTTATAGAACTGTGGGTTTGGTGGTCTTCGGCTGTTTTCTGATTAGCCTCCGTAGCAGGCTTATAGAACTGGGGGTTTGGTGGTCTTCGGCTGTTTTCTGATTAGCACAGTTCTTAAAAAACCTGGGTAATTCAACCAGGCCGGCTATGTTGTCTATATGCAATCAGAAAATAGCACATAAAAGCTCCCAAAGGCCATGAAGACCCCCCAAACCCCCAGTTTTTGGCATGCTGTGAAGGCCAGATGCCTGCTGTGATGAAGGTTAGACAGACCGTCCGGTGAGAACTGCGATAACACTGGAGAAAACAGAAGAAAATCGATTTTTCAGGTTGGATCCCTTGTGGGATACTTGCTGTGATGAAGGTTAGAAAGCCAGGGAGGGTCATTGTAGCAGTGACGCAGAATTCGAGAGATGGATGCCACTTGTAACGTTCGCTAGTAACCTCCTACGCAATGCCTCCAGAATTACAATGAGATCAGTTATAGCGTTTCTTCAACAATGCACATAGACATTGATAAATGTTAGACAATAGTCACAGGTAATTCAAACTCTGCTACTGGATAAATTACGGAGATAATTTTTTCAACACAATTTCAACAGTTTATTTTTAAAAAACAGCCTCGCAGCCTGTTCAAAAACATGCTGAATAACTCTGATTTTTTTTTTACAGTTGATTGTCTGGCACATACAAATTAACATTACAATACATGTTAAAACAAACGAACAAAAACATTACAAAAAGCCTCACATGGGCACTAAAGTAAAGACCTGACCGTCCTAAGAGTCTTACTGCGAAGACTTGTTGTACAGGCATATTGCCTGTTTACTGCAATTTCCGGACGTTTCGAGTGACATCCACCACTCTAGATCTTCTTCAGCGTCACTAATGAACTAACTCCTTTACATATCAATGACTATGTGAACCTTTGTCATGTTTAACCGGTTTTTCCAGTTGCTCATATACATGTGTTAACGAGTTCTGTTAGTTCATTAGTGACGTTGAAGATCAAGTGATGGATATCACTTGTAACGTCCGCTAGTAACCTACGCTAGTAATGCCTCCAGGAATAGGATTTAAATTGCCAATGAGATCTGGTATGGCGTTTCTTTAACAATGCACATGTACTTAAGACAGGCACTTCAACTACCGCCCAAGGACAAGGCAGTACTTACGCTAAGTTAAGGCCGATTGGCTGTGGCTGTCTGCACCATTGGCCATCGTACAATATTGATGTAATAGGACTTTCACGCAGACTATCATGCATCTGCATTCTGTACAGCATATATGCAAAACTATGCTTACATGTTTGATGGAGTTTGTATGCTCATATAGATCCAACGTTTCCGTCATGAATGTTCTTTAAGTAAAGACGCGTAAATACTATTTTACAGCTACTTACTTTACTTCAGTACATGTCTGTCTGTCTGACAGAGAGAGACCCGTCTGGGGTTTGGAAATGTATCTGCTGAAATGGGTTGGGTTAGCAAGGATTTGGGAATCAGAGACACCAAAGGTGGATGATTTTTAAAAAAATGTTTCAATCCTTGCACTAAAGTGAATATACCAATCAACATAACACATAAAACCTTTACAGTTACTAGAATATTCCTCAATCAGTGACGGTTGTAGAAAGGTAAAAAAAACACGTACCTCGAAATTGTCGATGACTACTGTACATCTCACGAGAACACGAGACTAGGTCAACATGTACAGTAGACATTAAAAAAATGGAGGTACATTGTACGTGTTTTCACCTTAGACTTAGTTTATAACAACGTCACTGATCGAGGAATATTCTACTAACTGTGATTTACACTTGGCGGATGAATCTCTTGAACGATGACCTCTACATGTGTGAAGGTCAGACACCCATGGCGCCACGATGAGTCTTCTGTTTTCTTCGCGGCGATCTGAACACGCCGCGTTACAATAACCGTGTGAGAAATGGCGGCCATTCCGGGAAGCGCAAACTGCTAATGGTCGCGTTCCAGGAACGTTTTCCGGTAACGTTTTCCGCGAAACTGCTTCAGTTGACGAATGGGAGATTCCGGTTGTGAGCCAAATCCTTGAGTTGCCATATACGTGAGAACTCAGGTGTTTAGGGCTGGGGTTAGGGTAAGGGTTAGTATTAGAGTTTGGGTTAAGGTTATACGTTAGAGTTGGGATCATTGTTCAGGGCTAGGGTTACACTTACGATTCGGATTAGGTTAGGTTACTAATAGGTTATTGGTTTATTAAGATGCTCTTTAGGCCCACGAGGGGCTAATCTTCCAGGGCTCATTCAACGGACAACACAATACAATACATAAAACAGATATACAACAACAACAAAACAACATATTACATACAATTACAAATTAAGAATTGAGGTCAAGAATGGAAGTTAGGTTTAGTCTCCCACATCACGACTAAACCCCCACCACCTCTTGTTTCAGGTACTATATATTGGTGCACGGTACCTGATTGGCAGGATCATGTATTTGGCTTGACATCAATCGGAAACATCCATTCTTCGCCAGATGACCCTATTGAAGGTCCTTGGTGATAAACCGAGACCCATTTAAAACTAAAACCCATCTAAGATGGCGATTAACGGCCTTGATGGCAAATAACGCTCTTCAGGTCTTACAACGAGATGCTCAATACTTTAGAAGTACTTAAATGGGCTTACGGTGATGGGAGGCTTAAAGCAGTCGCCTCCAACACCTCCTCATCATGCATCATCAGGGGGACCTGCATGCCCTTTTTTCGTAAGGCGTAATCAGGCCTTTTAGTCTTCATTATCCGTAGGCAGCTGCCCAACAAATCATCGTAATTCGTAATAGAACATTAACTGCAAAGCATAAAAAGTCGTAATCAGCTCTGAAACTTTAACGTAATTCGTAATTGGTGACGAAAATTTTGCTTAAGTCGTAAACACTACCTCCCTCCATGCATGCCCCCCATCAGATCTGCTGCCGTTGCCTCATCAGGCGTTCTCATAGTCCCCTTCATTAGCTACATGATAGATAGTTCCATGCCATGTCATCAATGAAGTATGTAAGTATATTTCGAAATGTTTAAAAAAAAGAGAGAAGAAACCATTAGAACTTAGATCGATATCACTTTATATAGTTTTATACCTTAGACCTGATGTTAGCCTTTCTTATATTATTGTTATAATTTCTTTCTAGTACACTGTACTTTGTACATCCATGCATTTATCCCCCGGGAATGAACATGCAATAAAGTATCATACTATAATCTGCATGGATCACACCAAGGTAGTCTCCACAGACTCATAGCACAGGTTATGGGTCTGTAGTAACACAATTTACACAGTAGTAAAATTTAGCCACATAGAGAGAATAATATTGGCCAGGGGAATTTGGGTTCATTTACCCTTCATTTACCGTTCGGATTGGGAAATTATCCCTTTCGCGGACTGACTCTCCTGCCTTCTTGCCGAACTGTACGATCCGTACCCCCGTAGGAAGGCCTGGTGGAGGCTGGGATCCGTACCCCCGTAGGAAGGCCTGGTGGAGGCTAGGATCCGTACCCCCGTAGGAAGGCCTGGTGGAGGCTAGGATCCGTACCCCCGTAGGAAGGCCTGGTGGAGGCTACGATCCGTACCCCCGTAGGAAGGCCTGGTGGAGGCTACGATCCGTACCCCCGTAGGAAGGCCTGGTGGAGGCTAATGCCAAGAATTGATGGTAGTACTTTGCCACAAAGTCTTGTGTACCACCATCCACAGTCCTTATTGAGGCATTTCCTTCTAAAGTTCTCCAAA